ATGCATGTTGTTGGTCTGTGGGAGGAAACTGGAGTACCTGGAGAAAGTATGTGACATCATGTGCACTAAATAATCTAAGTTGAAGTGAAATGAGAAAAAAAACTGAACATTGGCATGTGCCTACGTATTCACCCTCTTTTTTTTTTTTTTTAGCTATGAAGCCCCTAAAACGTTCTGGTGCAACCACTGACCGTCAGAGGTCAGAGGTCACATGCTTAGTGAACTGAAGTCCACCTGTGTGCAGTCCAAGTGTCACATGACCTGTCACACACACCTTGTCTGAAAGGCCCCAGAGCAGGTCTGTTCAGCTAAACGTTCTTGTCATTAATAACGCTTTAAAGCTAGTTTTATTTAAAAATGAGCCCATTGGTGGACCGAACTGAGCTCATCCGTGGGCCTGATTTGGCCCCCGGGCCACCAGTTCAATAGCTCTGCCCCAGAGACTGCAACACCATTAAGCAAGACGCACCACTAACCAAACACCATGAAGACCAAGGAGATCTCCAAACAAGTCGGGGACAAAGTTGTGGCTGGGCTCTAAAAAATGTTCAGTTCTCTGATGATCCCCCAGAACACCATCCAGTCCTTGATCACCAGATGGAAAGAACGTGGTGCCACAACACACCTGCCAGGAGAGGGCCGCCCACCAAACAGGGCGAGGAGGTATTAATGGAAGAGGCAGCACAAAGACCTGAGGTGACCCTGAAGGAGATGCACAGTCCCAGACAGACACTGGAGCAGGGGTCTGCAGCCTGCGGCTCTGGAGCCACATGTGGCTCTTTGGTCCCTCTTCTTTAAAGCTTTCACCTAAAACTGACATGAAACTGAATTTTATTGGTTAAACAACAAAAAATGATTAGTTCAGTTTTTCTGTCATTTCTTTTTCAAATATGGGACTGGAGCGAGTACAAGAAGAAATATACTTTATCTTGATACTTTATTTCTTTATATGAAGAACGGTCTGCATAGTGGATAGATTTTTTTAATAATAAAAACAAAGTTATAAACTGATTGTTTTCCTCTTTACAAGAATCTGGTCTTTTTCTTTAATAAATGTTAAAAATCATTAGATGTTTTTAACTTTAAAATGTCACCCTTACTGGCCACAAAAGTCCTCTCCATCAAACCTAAAGTGGCTCATGGGCCACCAGTTGATAACCACAGTTGTAGCAGGTTGTTGTGGCTCCGGACAAGTTTAATGTAGTGAACAAAGGTGTAAAAATGGTTCGTTTGATCATAAAGGTTGCAGACCCCTGGTCTGTCTGTAATAAATAACAAATTTCTCCCTTTTTAGGAAAGAGAAGGTGCCTTTGAAAACATCAATGAGCAGTCTTCACAGTGTGTCATGGTAAAGTTCAGAAATCTCCATAAATTCTAACTAAAAATATAAAGTTGTATGTCTAAACTGTGTTTATTTATTTGTGCAGGTGAAGATAAATGAAATGAAATTCGGCCCGTTTTGCTCCAGTGACTGTAAGTATGAAAAGGTTTATGATTAAAGGAGTTAATTTGGTCTCCTAAAATCCAGCAGAGTGTTTCAGAGTATTTCATGAAGGGGAATTTCTGTTTTGCTTTTTGCAGCTGGCAGATGGCGCTGGAGTCTCCTGGTTGTTGGTGTAATGCTGCTTGTTTGTTTGACTGTGCTCATGATTTATTGCCTCCATGACTTTGTCAAGAGTAAGTTTTCCTTATGTTCCCCCCCTCAATGTTAAAAGTGTAAGACATGTTACAGTATACCATAAAAAAAGACACCACCATATCTAATTTTTTGGTGGAACTGGTAAGAAGTTCATGACAAAAGGTGAATTGTTCTCTGGTTGGAATTTCCCAAAGCGCCTTCCAACAAAAGCTCCTTTCTTTCATTCTCTCCATAGATGCCATCATGTTGACTAGGTCTTGAATTGCTTTTTGGCTCGTGTACAAATGAGGTGTTTATCTCAAGATGCTGTTGTGAATTCAAACAGTTGTTATTCGTATTTACCTGTGGCATTCCAACTTTTACAGGATGGGCATGGAGCTGGCGTCATGGAGGATTTGTGAAGAGTGAGTCCTCCTTTTATAACCTCTTAAAAATACATGAATTCACATTAAATACATGACACCTCTGTCTCTTGCTCTTCCATTTCAAGTTGGCAGGAAGGGTCACGTGGTGCTGCTGAGCCCCCCAGATGAGGATGTTGGTGTTTCAGAGTCCATTGATCAGCTGGGGTCTCTCCTCTGCAGCCAGGGCTTCAGTGTGTCTGTGGACCAGTGGAGCAGGAAGGAGCAGTGCTCTCAGGGACCTCTTTTGTGGCTGTACTCACAGCTGCAGAGGATGGACAGCATGGGTGGTCGAGTTGTGCTTGTTTTGACCCCGAAAACCTCAGAAAGAACAGAGGAGTGGACCCACTTAAACAGAAATGGAGAAGTGGAGAAACTCCAGCAAATGAAGTCTCCTTATTCAGACTTATTTACTGCATCGCTGTTTCTTATTCACACGCACAGGAAGCTGGGCAGAGCGGCTGAGCGCTTTGTTCTGGTGAACTTTGACACCAGCCAAAAAAACAGCGGTCACAAGAGTTTACCAGAGCTGCTTCGAGGTCTGCCTCTTTTCCACCTCCCCTCTCAGACTCAGACGCTCCTCGCTGAGCTAACTGTTGTAGAAACAAAGATGGACCCCAGCAGAAGGACACGGATGGGGTGGAGGTGAAACCCTAAAACTGATGGAGGAAATGGACTATATCTAACATCATTGTGTAAATATGTTGCGAGTGTCCCAAAGAATACTGTGGCAGCGTGAAGTATTTGCTGAATGTGAACTGAATATAATGAAGATGAGACACTTTAACTCCCGTTATTTTAAAATAAAAAATATATTTTGTGATAAAAAGAAAAGTGTTTAAGCAGCTGGGCTGTGCAGCTTTCTGAAAACCCACGCACATATGCACAAATAAGGCCGCATTAAAGTATACAAAACGTCATTTAAAATGAACCTGTAGCTAAAATATTTATTTTACAGAAGGAAATGTTAATCTGGATAGAAAAGATTTAAGATATTCACATCATGTTTACCAGTATTGCTCATTTCATGAGATTAACTTGAAATGTAAACAATGTGACAAGTTTTATTCTGCATGCACTTATCAAGATGTATGATCCAACCTAAATGAATAATTAGATCTTTTGAAGTGAGGTTCTGTTAGGAGGCTGGGTAATTTAATACCTGCTGTTTGAAGAACCTCAGTTGGAGAACGTTCTGACCGGATTGACGATGGCTTGTCACAGATCAGCTGAGAGCAAAGTTGATTGCACGTCTTCTTAAAGGTACTCATTGCAAGGTCTTAAAGAACAATCCAAAAATTGTGAAAAGTATAGAAGAAAAAAAATCTGCACAAAATTGATCTCATATTGATGGTTTTTGTGCACTTAAATTAAATGTTTTAAGCAAAATTTGCTACCAGATACCAACCACCACGTGTGTTTGTTCACCTTTGGAAAAAGTGGTAACTGAAACAGATCAGAGATGGATACACTCATGAAGGAGCTGTTTGGGATTCAGAAGTCTGACAATTTTGATACAAATTTACATACATATTTGTTGAGTAAAATACGCTGATAAGTTTCAAAAACGTTCTACATTAAAATATGCTTGTGAACATATCACAGACTGGGAATAAGGATGATTTGAGTCATAAATATTCTGTTAGACTAGAGTTTAAAATACATTAAAGCAGTGTTTTCCTACCATAACGTGACTTACTGGTTTAGCAGAAATGTTATGAAACTGAGTGTGTAAATGCTGAGTTTTGTCTTTATGATGCTCCACCACCCTGCATGAGCTTTGATGTTTATTCTTAACTTCTTGTCCTTTCTCTTTTCTTTTGTGTTTCAACTGCAGATTTCCATTTAAACGTCTTTGAGATGCTTTTTTTCGTGCTTATTTACCTACACAGAAATCTTATGTGGTTTTAAGCAGATTCAGCCAAGTGCTTTATTGTCTCAGTGAGTGGATCCACATTCCAGAAATGCACATCAGGATATTTGGAAAAACTACTGGATCAAACTCTTAAATGTGTCCATTTAATGTAGTCCAGGGTGACCTACTTCTGTCTGATGTCAGACTTTGCAATGAGTACATTAAATAAAATAATAAAAACAACTCTAATCTCTTATTAATTTCATAGTGCTCAGTAAAAATTGTGTTTTTATCAACTTTCACCCTACAGTCAGTTTTGCATTATGGCTCTTCTGGCAGAAGTAATATGATTTTCCTGCTGGAAGTTCTTCTTGCTGCATCAAAAGCACTAAAGTTTAATTTATTACGTATTGTTCCTGCAAATAAGCAGTATAATTGTAATGGTCAGTGGCCCCCACATTGGCCTGTGTCTCACACTCCTGGTATTGTTTCAGCACCTCATGCCATAGTTTCTCTTCCCTGCTTTGCAATGCCTGTCTCCCATCTCCAGCTCAAGCCTACTCCTTCCAAGCCATGCCACGTCTCCCTTGTTTATCACAACACTCAGCCCTGATTCCACTCACCTGCTCTGCATCCTTTATAAGTTCCATTCTCCCTCTCCACCAGGGCTGAATTATTATACCTTCCATGGTCCCTGATATCCAGCCATCTAGTTCTTGTTCATGCTTGATGTTCGTGCCCTGTATTTGGATTTTCGACCTCACACCTTGTCTTGTGGATTTACCCTTTTGCCTGCTCCTTGTCTAGTTCTGCTCTGTCCTTCTGATCACGGTAATGACCTCCTCCTCTGCCTCTATGACCACGATTCACGGATCACCCTTTTTGGATTAATTCTTGGACCTCTACTCCCTGTGTTTGAGCCCTTTGGACCACAACCCTGCATTGCCTCACTTTCCCTCTCCATTAAGATTGGACTCCTGCCTTGGACCCTGACTCCAGCTACCAGCAGCCTAATTAATAAAAAACTGTTCTTGTTTTTGCACTCCTGTGTCTGGCTTATTAAGAATCCAAAAACCCACCCGTGACAATAATATGTAAATTATTATTAATTTGACAGCGATGTAGATTTAGTTCTTGCGTCACAGACTCTCAATGACTAATAGAATTTACTTGAGTCGTGGTCATTTTTGAGCCTTAAGTTCAAGCCAAGTTTGTCATTTCCAACACATGTGGTACATGAGGTGGAATGAAATTATGTACACAAAGTCCAGTTACTCCCAACCATTCTTTTACCCGCCAGTGCCCATGTCTAGCGATCACTGTGCGAGGGGCAAGAGACACTGCACGGGTTGCAAGTCCATCACAGGGCCGCATAGAGACAAACGAGACAACCATTTACTTTCTCACTCACACCTAAGGACAATTTAGTTACCAATCAATAGCATGCATGTTGTCTGTGGAAAGAAACTGGAGTACCCGGAGAAAACCCATGCATGCACCGAGAGAACATGCAGGCTCCTCCCAGGGGGGCCCCCAGGCCGGGATTTCAGCCGGCAACCTTCTTGCTGAGAGGCAGCAGCTCTACTAGTTGTGCCACTGTGCTGCCCTCCCAGTTACTTTTAAAAATGGTAAAGTATAGAAAGAATAGTAAATAAGAATCTAAGATAAACACTATGGTATATGCTAAACAGACACCCAAACCCTGACCAGAATTAAACTCTGTTCTAGACTTAGGTTGTCTGACGAAATGTTCACAGCAGGTAATGTTCAGAGCCCTCTTTATAGGGCTCTGGTAATGTTCAAAAGATCTGAACTATCCCTTTAAATCCATCCCCATTCTCCGCCTATTGAAGCCGTGATTGGCCTCCTGGAGTGGTATGCTGCGATTTGATTGGTTAGTTTTGGTGTCAGTTTGCTAGTGTCTGAGTGTGCTTGTTAAAAGTTTTAGCACCTCCTAGAGAAGCGGTGCCATCATTTGAGTTTAGATACCTCAGGTCCCGCTCGCTCAGAAAGTTTTTAGTTTGAGGTTTCCAAACAAACGAAGAAATTAGATTGGACAAGTGTCGGCTGTATTCACTTGTTTTAAAATATAAAACGCTCTTCGGTTCACACCCGGTGACACGGAGGTAAAAACATACACTAAATTATCTTCAGGAGGCTGTTTTTAAACTTACTTTATTGGACGGGTTTAGTTTGCGGCGTGTTGATACTTTTTAGGTTGAAATCTGAACGCGACTGCGACATATAAATAGCTCAGTTAGGGCAGCATGTCATTTTATGTCGTAGAAAGTTGTTTAAATGAGACCTTTGAATGGGGCTAATGTTATACTTTAGCAATGTAAGATGTATTTTGGAGCACAAGACTCATGGAGATTGTCCACATGAACGTATTTTTTAATTTTTTGTATAGCAGATGTGAAACACTCGGGACAGAAACTGGATGTATTATAGTACATGTATTAAAACTGTTGAAGTGCATGGAGAATGAAGATAAATTTAGTCAGATCTTATCACTCTGAGCCCTCTAAAATAATGTGTGTTTTTATTTGATTATATTAAAGGTGCAGTTTAAAAAAATAATCTTGTCTGGTTTATAATAAACAATAATTGCAACACGTGCTTGTTTTTCTTTAGGATTGTAAATCGGTTGAACGCCAGGTGTTCTGACCCCATGATGCCAGATGTTTTGCAGGACACTAACAGCTTGTATGTTCTGGTCAGATGGGGGTGAGGTGGTTTCACTGTAGCCTGCTGCTGCTGCTGCTGCTTGTTGTCCGGGTGCACAGCTGTCCAGATGCTTGCAGCAAGTGTTCAGGGCCAGATGGAGTCCACTGTGAAGAGTGCAGACCTGGGTGGACTCTTCATAATTACACCTGTGTTGGTAACATTTGTAAATATGTCAGCATTGTTCTGAACAGTGTTAACAGCTGCAGTGTGTGTGTCATCAGGCATTCCATCTGTTTTAGACATTGACGAGTGCGGCATCGAGCTGGGGAACTGTTTGGAGAACAGCTACTGCTTAAACACACAAGGATCCTTTGAGTGCAGAGGTCAGTACTTCATTGATGGGATAAAATATCAAATGTCTTGGCAAAGTTTGCAGAAATGTGACGTAAATCATCTTAACAAACTCGATGCAGTAAAAATTAAATGTTGCCGCATGTGTTTGAACGGTTTATGAGACGAATCGTTTGTGATGAAACAAAAGAAAAGCAGCAAATCCTCAAATTAACGAAACAGAAATTTTTTTTTTTTTTTTGGTAACTTCATGAATGATTCAAGTTCATTATTTAGCATCTCGCCAAATAATATTAGTTGTGACAAATTAATATAAAAAAAAAAATCTGAGTGCACACATCTGAAATCTGTTTGTATTTAAAAATATTTATACAATAGTTTGGTACCAGCACAATTAATAAATACTAATTATAATATTTTAGATATTTCTTGGCATCAAATTGTCTTCTAAATTATGTGTACAGTAGTCCCTCGTTTGTCGCGGGGATCCATACCCTGAAGCCCCGCGATAAGTGAAAAACCACAAAGTAGGAATAGTAGAACAAGTAGTAAGTAGTAATTTATTTTTGTATTTATATATGTAAATATATAAGGCATTTTAAGCCCTTCCCACACTCTTGCAATATTCAAAACAACATTTCTAAAGCTCTAAAAGAGCACAGAATGTCATGATTTCAGCTCCATGCCTCATCTGATCTTTGCCACCTGCAAGCGCTCTTGGCCACGCCCACTTCTCAGCTCTGCACACAGAACAGCTGATCAGCTGCAGCAGGAAGTTTATCCTGCAGTAAGGCCTGCACTGAGGTGCAGGCGGAAGCTTTTTCTGCAGCCCTGGGCTGCACAAATGTGCAGCAGGTGCTACATAATTTAAAATAATTTATTTTAAATAAAAATTCCATGCCGATCGTATGGCTCGTCCATCAATCAGCCAATTGTGTGTCATGTCTTATTTTGAAAAACAGTGAGAGTGAGTTCGGGATGAACGAACCGCAAAGTGAAGAGAGACTACTGCATTACAGGTACACTTGTATACAGCCAGTATGAAAAATACAATGCACATGCGAGTTACTTGGAAAATTATGTTTACTTGGTTTATAGTTTGATTTTGGACAATTATACAGCAGGTGGAATTTGAGGCAGCTCACTCTCCAAACGGCTCCATAAAGCCTACTGGTTAGAACAAAAGTGGCTTCTAAGGTTTTAAAGATTTAACATAAAACTTGAGAATTTTGCAAACATATTATTGAAGCTTGATGGCTCTAGACACAATGCGTTAATTGTTTTGTAATTTGTGTAGGCTTCAAATGTCCATAATGCACTTTATAATTGTGACACGATTGTGCTATGTTTTTAGGTGTTACCCAGAAAATCAATTCTTCTTCAGCAAAACAGAAATCTTTTTTTAACTTGGAAGGGAAACTAAAACACTTTAAGTGTATTTTAAAATGAAATGTTGCGTCCTATCTGATCCTATTTCTCTCTTTTCCTTTTATTTATAATATTCACTATAGATGAGGATGAGTGTGATGTATCATTGAAAAAAGTAAATGGTTTGCCAGGTTGTGATGTGGCCTGTGTGGGCTGTATGGGGAGTGGACCAGCTCGCTGCAGAAAATGTGCTCCTGGATACAGACTGACAGGGCCCAAATGTTTAGGTAATTACAAATGATAATAAAAATAACAAGCATGTATGCTATATGGTTATTGCATTAATTTTTGGTCTGCTCAGACATCGATGAATGCAGTGACAGGGTGCTCGCCTGTCATGGTCTGGATGAGATTTGCATCAACACAAAAGGCTCGTTCCGTTGTGAGTGCGCCGACGGCTTCATCCAGAAGAACGGTGTTTGTGTGAGGAAACAGCTGCCCAGTGAGTGCAGTTTATTGGCTGTGTGGATGCTTAAAAACAGAGAAAAGAAAATCTAGCATTTATTTTTCGCCCTTGGTCGCCCCCTGCAGGTGTTCAGGAGAAAGGTCTGTTTGAAGACATCCAGGACGACGAATTGGAGGTGCTGCAGCAAATGTTTTTCGGGGTGGTGCTTTGTGCTTTGGCTACACTTGCAGCCAAGGGCGATCTGGTCTACACATCTGTTTTTATAGGAGCAGCGGCAGCCATGGCGGGTTACTGGCTCTCTGAGAGAGGGGATCGTCTGCTGAACAGCTTCATGAAGGGGCGTTAACGCTCCAGAACTGTTAACTCAAAAGACACGACTAACAGCAGGCACAGGGACCACGGCTTGTTGAAGTGATTAAAGAGGGCATGCGTAAATGTTTTATTTTGAAAGTGAAATTAGGAGCTGCCGTCCAAAAAAGTGGAGTTGGATAATGTAACGTATCTTTTGATACACTTTAAACAAATCAGGGACTTTTATTTTATAAGTTTTATACCTTTTTATGTAGTCTTCGGTTACTGCAGTTTTTAAGAGAATCTCTCTACCTAAAGGCTGAACATTAACTAAAAATATTGTTTTTAAATGTGACTGTTCAAGAGAAGAGGCTGTCCAGACATACGCTCCCATTCTGACACAAGTGCTTTTACTGTGGGAAAACAAAAATTCACAAAAGTTTATATAAAATAGCGTTCATTTGAAACACTACGAAATTCTTTAGATTGGCGGTTTTAAGACGGCAACAATCCACCGTTTGTCACGCTCTAGCTGTTAACTCATCGATTTGGTCAGAATTAAACTCTTTTATTCCAAACTAAGATTGTTCAAAGTGCTATCTGCAACAGGTAAGATATTAACCGTTCATATCCTTTCCATAGTTGTGTTGTACAAAACATTTCAGTATGTTTTTCATGATATCCAGGCATAAATAAATACTAAACACTGTTTTTACACTTTGAAGTCTTTGCGTTGTCATTCTAGGTGGCAGGTTATGTGAAACTCAGTTTTTCTATGAACACGGACAGTTAAAGCAACAATATACAAATGCAGTTGCTAAGGTGAAATATTTTAAATTAGGGCAGAAAATCAGTAACGAAGACAGAAAGAAAGTCACCTTTATTTGATGGATATAAACAAGCTGGCCAACACTCAATAGTATTATTCTGATACAGCACAGACGATAGCAAACAGGGGCACTGAGGACAGCCTCCTATAGTTTAAAAAAAAAGCCAACCAAACGTTATTTATCCATGCGTCATTCAAAACTTGCTCAGTCTCACTTTTTTTTTTTCTGGTCTGGGACATGATAAAGTGTTTTTTAAATAGAATTTTCTCTTACATATTTCATAACAAATACACACACACTTGGAGATATGCACACTCAAATGCACTCTCACACACACACACACACAGACTCTTTTTCTGAATACAATCCCCTCCCCCCCAAAAACATGCTGCACTCTCACAAAACTGCACAGGCTGTCTACTAAGGGGACACAGTAAGTGAGACACACGTCAGTCTCGAACACGACATCACACCGTCACAATGCACAATGCAGATGCAGCTAATGGACGAGGAATGACGCATGTCGGAGACGAGCTCACGTCCAAACGAACGATCATTCAGCATGCTGGACACACATTTGAGTTTGTTCCTAGCTCGTTTTACTGTACAGCTCAATACATTTACTTTTATAAATAGTACAGTCTCAAACTGGCAAATTAAATAAGCAGAAATGATAGAAAATATAAAGCTTAAGAACTGAGAAAAAGTAAAAATAAATGCAACATTTGCTCAGTCAAACAAAAAGTACTTCTGGCGTTGGTCACAGTGAATTGTTCGAAAGTTTTCAGCAACAAAAAAAAAAACCCAAAACAGGTTTACAGCAATAACGACAAAGTGAACGACAGGCTTGTTTTTTTTTTTTTTTTTTTTTTTTTTTTTTTACTTCTTTTGAAGGCCTTTTAGACATGAGAATGTGAATCTACATACTTTTCTACACAGCTGCTTCTAGGCACAAATGAAGCCTTTACTTCTTATACTTTGACACAAACTAAGTGCAAGTCTCTTCTTTATTTCTAGGATTAGTCCTTGAGTCTAAACCCAGATTAGCAGCCCCAGTTTCTAAACCTTAGTGTCTCTTTAGATATTCTTTTTTTTATTTTTATCATTTTTGACACAACAGTAGATAAATCTCTCTGCACAGACAGCAGGAGATTATCTACGTTATCGTCACCTTCATTTGGCACATAAGAGTCAGCATGCACGAGCACAATTAAAATGTTCTATGTTGTCTACCATGTAAATCATGTATGCTATGGTAGGAAAACTCCCTACTTCAAGTATTCAGTAGATAAGGACCTGAAAATGGAGGCTTTGTACTCCACCACGCCCTGATGGAAAAGTTAAGACGATTTTTGCGCCTCTGTCTGTTTGCATTGTCTTTCCTTCATAAAAATAATAAAAAATAAAAAGTTAACGCAACAAGTTCTTGACTCTGTCTGTGACAGGGAATCAGACATGTAAAAGATGATACTTCATTTGTGAAATTGTGGTGGATTTAAAGGTGCACACAACACCTGATACTTGACACACAGGCACTGTGAGGACAAAGGAAGGAAGAGGGGATTAGTAATAGTCTGATTCTTTAATACTGTAACACCATGTGTTAAGTTTCTTTACTTGATCAGCTGCCACAGTAACACACATCACAACCTCTGTTCACATGACGACGACAACAAAAACACGCAAAGCGAATGCATCCAGACAGAGACACTGAAACCTCATGTTGGAGGGTTTGATCGTCCTCGTTCACAAGTGCAAGCAGACAGAATCTCACCGCTGCCTGTGTGAGCTGCACAACACAGAGCAACTTGTTTCTGCTTTTTAAGTTGTCACCACAGGCCAAGTGGGCTTCGGCTGAGTTGTACTGACATTAAAGGGAGAGTTCAGACTGTGTTAAGTGGGGTTCTGTGGAAAAGTTCTGAACAATTAATATCTTACCTGTTACACGTAGCTGTTTGAACAACCCCGATTTGGAGAAATCAAGTTTATTTTGACTGGATTAACAAATAATTAGCCTGAGCGGAGTAAAGATGAAAGTGGATTGTTGTCATTTTAAGACAACTCCAGATTCAAAAATTTCTTACCAGTTTAAGTAAATACTATTTTGACCAGGAGCGGGCAAACTTTCGGACTCGCGGGCCACATTTAGTTCTAAAATTGGAGCGAAGGGCCGGGCCATAATACACGCCAGCGTCTGTAGTGTGCCTCTACTGGGGAAATGCTGGAACTACAGGCAAAACGACACCAGTTGTTTTCTCCTATTAAATTCAGTTTTTTAAATATAATTTGAACCAGTGGTGTTTTTAACCTCTTTTTGGGGGTGCTTAAGCACCCCTAAATTTTACCTCAGCACCCCATAAAAATAAAGTAATTGTCCAAATTTTGGACAGTTTCGGTGGGCCAATTAAAATGCCCAATGGGCCTGGGTTTGCCCATGCCTGATTTTGACGGTCTTACCCATCTGGCAGTTTTGAATTACATGATTATTCCATATATCTCTACTGGAAATACCTCAAGGTGAACTGAGAGTGATGCACCTAGAACTTGCAAATAACCATAGAATCCTACATGAATATCAGTGAAATGTGAACCTGACAGTTATCAGTCCATTAAATGGATGTTATTAGTTGTTATTATCCCCATAGGTAGCGTTCAGACGGTTCCCTCCTACCTCAAAGTAAGTTTAAAGTTACGTTTTTATATCGCAACTCAAGTGTAAAACCGGAAGTGCATTTTAGTTAGCTTTATGTAACCCTTTTCCTAAACCTAACCTTACACCTGACCCAGACCACTGACCCTAAACTTAACCCCTTTACCCTTGACTCAAAACCTAACCATGTGACCGTATTATCAGTGATAAGAACGTACCTTTAAACCTACTAGGAGGTAGAGGTGGGACAGTCTGAACGCTACGCATGGGGATGATAACAACTAACCATTTAATGTACGATACCATCCGAAGCGGGTGAAACTGACAATAAAGTAAAAGTTTGTAAAATAGCATTTGAATGAACTACTCTGTAATTTTCACGACTGGATCGGACTTCCTGTTTGCTCATCAGTCCCATCTCTCCAAAGTGAAGTTGTTCTAAACATTAATAATTATTCCTAATCTTTCCACAGAGTCCTGCTTTTAAAGATCTGAACTTCACCTTTATTAGGAAGGAATGTATTTACATTTTCTTTTCTAGACTATCCATAAACCTGGATTCACTTCTAGGTTGACCTTTTACTGCTGCTCTAAAGCTGTTTTTATTTGGGCTCTCCTGCATTTTCAGACAAGGAATGTTAACTTGGCGCTGAAGGGTTTTCTCACAGCATAGATGAAACTCTAAGTAAAACATCTCTGACCTACAGCCAGTTAGAAAAATAACTATAAAGGAGAGGGGGGAGGGGGGAAATCATATCTTGTCAGTTTGAAACATTTTTTTTGAACACATATAGACACACTCTATAGATTTCTCTCTATATGTATAATATATGCATATCTATCTTATGTATACATATTTTACGAGGCACAGGCCACCTTGTTGAGAAGGAGAAAACGAGTCACCATGTGTGGGGAAGGTCACACAGACTACTGCTGGAAGAGAAGGACGAGGAGAGCAGGACCTTGCCTGAAGTTCAGATTTTAGAAACATCTACTGAACTCTTTCACCACGTCATAGTCACAATACCTATTGTAATATATCTCTAGGGAAATGTGTGTGATTCTTAACATTGTTCACAAAGTCCCCCTCTCTGTTGAACTGTATGTACAAAGCAGTCGTTTACAGTTGTTTCTGAAGCCTGGAGTGGGATCAAGTCCCTCAACTGTAGAAGGACTAACAGATGCTCTGGTTAGATCTTCTGATACCATTTAATCGGAGCACCGGCAGAAGCACCATTAAGAAAAATTCCTGCAACACAGAGGAGGTGCATAGTCTCATAAAATTATAATAATCTGTTGACCGTTTTCTTGGTCGCTCTGATTGGATAATTAATAATTTACATTGATTCAAATACGCATGGATAATAAAAAAAAAAAAAAAAAAAAAAAAAAAAAACATCCCCTCTAGGTTGACATCTGCATAGATTGATTTTTATGTGACTACTTCTGATTGAAGTGAGGTAACATGAATAAAAAGATGCTGATAGGAGCCACAGCTTTCAGGTTTAGACCTAAAGCATGCAGGGCACGTGCAGCCAAGGAAACACGGAAAGGCTCGAGGCGCTCCTGTTAGTTAGCCAAAAGTACTTCGTTGTGCCAACAAGAAATGGCAACAGAAAACCTAAAATGACTGGAGTCGCAACGACAAAAGCTCCAGATGAGACCATTAAAAGATGGACGGTCATGGAGGATGTGTGAAAGTGTAATAATCAGGCCCTGTGTCCCACAAAAGATAAATACAGCTCATTGAAAACTTAAACAGCACACTGAGAGTCATGAGAGCTACGTGACGGGGTCAGATGTCACCACAGGGGTCAGGAAGGCAGCAAGGATGGAGGAAACAGGACGTCAGGCCGAGGAGCCAATCAGAGCCTGAGGAGTGCGTCAGGCAGGTAAAACAGTCAAAGTAAGATGATGGAAATAATTCTGGGCTGGCAGAGACTATCATGAGATCTCAGCTGGGAGGATGAAGAGGTTGCATTCAGCAGACGACCGACAGGTGAGGTGTCTTCTCTGAGACCTCTGTTTCTATGGTGATAAAGTCTGTCATAGCAACAGACTGTCTGTCTCTCCATCACTGTGAACTGTTTGCAAACGAAGAGGCGGATGTTCTTCCCGTCAGATTGGAGGTCCCACAGCACCTTTGTGAAAATATATAAAAGCAGTCTTAGATTCAGCTTGGAAACAAACAAACAAACAAACAAACAAAAAAAGAATCACAAATATCATTTATTGTGCTTTTCTTACCTGCTCAGCTGTCAGTCCCAATGCAGAATCTGCACACCTGAGCACCTCCTCTTTTTCATCAAAAAGAAAATAAAACAAAAAGCTCCCACTGTTTCCATGTACTGATTCACTGAAGGTAAAAAAAAAAAAAAGATTTAACTGGGGGATGTTTTAACATCATGGGATGGCTGTGCTCCTCCAGAAGTGATCGCATCATCTGAAGGTAAGAGATAAAATGATGTCAGGGTGTAGGCGGCTGGACAAATGAAGTTAAAAACTAACAGTGAAGATTATCTTACCCCTCCAAACAACTTTGGTTGTCAAAGCTATGCCCAAATGCCCTCCTCGTCATCCTGTGTGTGAAGAAGAGACCATAACCAAGTCACCTTCTATCAACTGATATATTCATGTACCATTAAATTCATTCTACTCAAAAGTCAGTGTGTAAGTAGCCTATTGCTGTAACTGTAAGGACCAGGCTGTTTTAAAAGTACTTTTTTGTAAAGAGTCACATAAACCTGAAGGGTTTAAAGTAGTTTGTGGAAAAAGTTCAAGAAAAAGACCTCTTGTGTTTTCAAGTTGTTTTGTGCATCATTTTTTCTTAAACTTTGATTTTAGTCGACATAATTGAAAAAGGTTTGTCATGTGCAGAAACCAAAAATGATAAAAATGTAACACATATCATACTGCCAGGTGTTACATATTTGATTTATTGTGAAATATTTCCCTACAAACCTGTCTAAAAGTATGATAATTTTCTATCAAATGCAGTGGAATTAGAAATGTTCAAATAAAGCCATCAATATTACTTTCCACTTTAAAGCAGATGAAACATAATAAGCATTTTTACAAGTTAATGTATTCATGCAGTTGTTCTCTGAAATAACCAAACTTTTATTGTTTGATTTTAATCATCAGCAACATGAGGGGAAAATAAGTGGAGCTGTTATAAACTTAAGGAAAATCATAAATATCAATGAAAATATTTGCGGATTATCAATATTTATTTTTTAAATACTGGTGGCTTTTTGTTTAAGTATTTTATCAACACTAAAAAAAAATACATTGAAACATGAAGTTTTAGAAAACTTTGTATCAAGTTTAACTGTAAAATGACTAAAGAAAAAAAAACATGGAAGAAATATTTTCACAGATTTTTATAAAAGCTTTTAATGAATGAAAAACGGTTCAAATAATCTCTGTATCCTCTCCAGAGATAAACCGTGGTGCTCCTGCCCATCGGTGCCATTTTATTTATTAGTTGGTTTGTAACAGGAACCAGCTGAACTCTCACTGTCATGTTGTTAGAAATCTGTTTTAGCTGTTTACAGATACAATATCTGCTTGTGCTGCTGAAATGTCAGCATTTTTTAAAATCTAATTCAAAACTTTGGGATATTAAAATTATGCAACATTTAACAAATTTAGCAAGCTGTATGCTATTTAATGTTTTTTTATCTTTACAATTTTTAAAGTTATGCAAGCACATTGTTAAGTTTATATAAAACATTTGTTTTCATATTATTCAGAAGTACAAAGTAGGTAGATGGAAGATAGATAGATGATGGAAGGATGGATGGATGGATGAATAGATAGATAGATAGATAGATAGATAGATAGATAGATAGATAGATGGATGGATGGAGAAATTCGAGAATAATACAGATTTTAAAAAAAATATTTTTGTATGATGTTTTTTAAACATTAATGACATCTGACCTGGTCTGGGGAGGGGCGGTGGCCGGCATGTGGGGGTCCTCGAACCGGCCCTCCTCGATGGTGGGGCGAAGGATGGCGTGGATGCTGCGCGAGGTGCGGGTGCTGAGGGTGCTGAGGGTGTTGAGGGTGCTGAGGGTGCTGAGGATGAGGATGTTGGGGGTGTGGTCCTGGTTGGGGAGGGCCATGTGGGTGCTGAGGGTGAGGGTGCTGTTGTGGGGGATGTCCATGAGGTGGCACGTGCTGGGGGTGCTGTTGGTGGGGGTGCTGAGGCTGTGGGGGGCGGGGGTGTTGTTGGTGCTGGGGAAGTGGCTGAGGGTGCTGTGGGTACTGTGGCTGTGGCTGCTGTGGATGGGGGTGCTGAGGTTGGGCCTGTGGGTGCTGCAAGTGCTGTGGATGTGGGGCGTGTGGATACAGAGACTGCTGGGCATGGGCTGGGTGGGGGTACTGGGGCTGAGGCTGAGGCTGAGCGTGGGAGGCCTGCGTCTGGTGGTGAGGAGCGTGGGGGTGGTATGGCTCATCCTCATAGTTGTCGGCGATCAGCTTCATTCTACTTTGAGTCTGTGGCACAAACAAACTCGTTACTGCTTAACAATTAACAACGTCTATAAACAAAGTTTCTTTCACAAAGAAAAGATGGAAAATCAGGTCCCTGAGTCACCAAATTAAGTTGTAATTCAATCTAACAAACTCTGCAGTTTAGTTTGAGTCACGTCCAATGAAATGTAAATTCTTTGGTCATTTAGACAGCAGGTTTTATGAAGCATTTTATTTCACATATGTTAAACAACCGACCACTACTCGCTTTACTGCAGATAGATAAAATACTTCTGTTACTTTTAATCTTAATTTTATTTTGAATTTGAGAATCATCCATCTATCCATTATCTTTTACCCGCTTCTTCCATTTTGGGTCACGGGGGTTGCCGGTGCCCATGTCCAGCATTCACTGTGCGAGGGGCAGGGGACACCCTGGACGGGTCGCAAGTCCATCACAAGGACACTTAGAGACAAACAATCATTCAGTCTCTCACTCACACGTAGGGACAATTTAGAGTTACCAATCAGCCTAACATGCATGTTTTTGGTCTGTGGGAGGAAACCAGAGTACCCGGAGAAAACCCACACATGCACGGAGAGAACATGCAAACTCCATCCAGAAAGGCCTCCGGACTGGGATTTGAACCAGGAACCTTCTCGCTGAGAGGCAGCAGCTCTACTAGTTGTGGCACCGTGTTGCCAATTTGAGAATCAATGCAACAATAATTTCAAAGCAACTGTAGGAACTGTTGTTCTGCAGAGGATTAATTAATTATTAATAGCATGGGAGCTAGTTCACAAAGGGGGAAAAGTTGTTGTTTGAGCTCATAGTTTGAAATTAATAAAGAAAATGTTGTGTTAGGCTGGAAGCAAGGGTTAAACAGCAATATTTATTTATATACTTTTAAATGATAATACAAACCTTGGCCGCAGTATGTTTATAACTGAGTAATTATAAAAAGTATGGAGATGCAGCAGACCTAAATAATTATTGCCACTCTGCTGACTTAAACAGGCTTTGAAATTTACTGCAGTTTTCAGTCTGAAACAGTCTCTGTGTAAAAATAAAAAAAAGAGAAAAACTGCATCGCTTAACATAAAAAAAAAATATAAAAAAAAAAAACTGCCTGCAATAAATTTATCTGCATTGCTAAAAGGGTTAAAGTCAGCCTCTAGGACAGACAGAGTCAAACTTTTGGTTTTGCTTTCAGAGCAGTTTTTACTCAGTATGCTGGTCCTCGTTATTATTCTTTACCAGAAAATCGACTAGTAGCTAAAAAACTATGTTCTTGTGTGGATGCTCATTAAGCATTCCTTTTTTACTCCGCTGAAAACATATGAGCACGTGCTCCCCAAACCTTCACTCAGTGTGGTCTTAGTAATTCTCCTGAGTGAATTCACACCAACACAATCACAGCTTTGAAATCAAAAACACCCAAGTCACTTAATAAATGCTTAAAATAAATTACAGAGTTGTAAAATGTTCAACTTTCAAGCGGTGGGATGTTTCATCTCAACATTTAGCTCTTGAAGTTGATTTTATATACAAGCTACAATAGTAGGACGTGTAAAAACTGCAGAAGTAGTCATGCAGCAGCCCAGGTATAACTGACTGACTGCTGCAGCTATCATTATTTTTCCGAACAGTGCTTGGTAGTCCCGAAGACAGAGCAGCAGAACTAACATGTTGTTTGAGCTGGTGCATCAGTTTGTCCCGCTCCCTCTTCAGAGCCAGAACCTCCTCCTGGGTTTTCTTTTTATTGGAGGCAGACAGTTCAAGCAGTGCAATGTTGGCATCCTTCTCACTGATGGCTGCCAGCAGAGCTTGTTGTCTGAAAGAAAAATAAAGACATTACAAAAATAATCAATGTGCAATGCAAAATATAGTTTGGAAGAGGACACATTATGATTTGATGGTTTTTTTTTTTTTTTTTTGGGGGGGGGGGGGGTACATAATACATAGTTTACTTAAAGTTATAGCTTTAGTAGCTTAAGTAAGAATTAAGTAAGTCTTACTTATAGCTTTTTAACATGTCCTGCCAAAGTGAGTAATACTCTTCTACGAAGAGCACAGCTTTGTGCACAAAATGTGCAAAGCAATGCAGATCTTAAGCAAAAGAGACCATGTTGAAAAAACAATAGCATTCATTCAAAAAGCTGGAAAATGTTTTAGTTGGAGATGTTTTAGATGGCAGACAGTAGATTTAAATATATTTATTGACTCTGATTTGACAGGAAAGCTTGAATAAATTATGTAAACCTTTGACATGCTAGAGCTAAACATTAAAACCAAATTATCAATGTTCCCCTGATCATAAGTTTGGTCTTTTTTTATTACTGAAGCACTCTCTCTTTCTCCGTTTCTCTCTTTTCGTTTGTTTTCTTCAACAACTTCCTGCTTGACTTCTCGATTCTTCAAAAATGAGATTGTTCTGTCCACTGTCTACTGCAAGTAAGATACTGACGACTCATAAAAGATTCACACGTCCCTACTTTAACGATGGCAAAAGCTAAAACAAAGAGTCCCAAAGTAAATCATGAACTGCTTGCCTTAACATTTTTCCAATTAGTTTAAGAAAATAAATTGTATGGCATCAAATGAAGCGATCGTTTATCACTTTCAGCCCAGCAACAAAACTAACTTCATTTCCAGGATCTCCTCCAGCTGTTTCCTGCGCTCTTGTCTCATGTTGGTCAGGTGGGAGTCCCTCTCCTGTAGAGACTGCTGTGTGGAGGAGAGACGCTGCTTGGTGGCATCCAGCTCCTGCCTCGTCCTTTCCAGCGTGTTCATCAGCTCCTCCAGCTGACCCGACAACAACAAACAAAAAGCACGCCAGGTCATTGTAACAACACTTCTTTACTTATGTATCATCAGTGGTGTGCATTTCTTCACAGTAAAATAAATGTTCACCTTTACATGATGGCCGCTGTCTAAAGAGCTCTCCTTACGGAGGTCCTGTCCTAAACCCTTCTTGTCCCCTTGCAGTCCGAGTTTGATATTTGGACCCTTCTTAGTCTGATCTTTACCTCCTTGCCTGTGATGTCACACAATTTAAAACCCATTATGTCAAGAATGTTTTGAAGAACCTTGTCACAAAATAGTACCAGTATATCAGCAGGGCAACAACAAATCATGATTATAACTCGTAAATTGAGCCTCAAGTCACTGTTGAGGTTACTTTCAGGTTTCAGTGTGGGAAAATGGGATCGATGGGTTAGAAGGGGAGCAGGGGAACTTCTTACCTGGGAGCTAAACTGCAGATGGGTAGAGAAAAAAAGGTAGAAGACAAGAAGATGACAGACACGTGAGGAAAACAGTGGAAGCAATAAACAAAAGCACACAGACGTAATGTGTGAAAAAGTATTAGAAACAGAAGATAAAAAGACAAACACGAGAAAACAATGACGCCCAAAGGGAATCACGCTGTGCTGTAATAATCCAACAACGCCTGTGACAGTCGCTGCTCTGCAGGCTGACGCAGCTAATGCAGGATGCACCTTCTCTGGAAGAAACGTGGAACAATTGCTGCTGCCAAGCCCAGGAGTGGCAGCCATGCAGTCATACAGGCAAAGATTAGCAGAGTTTAAACAGGAGTGCTGAACACAAGGGAGGGGAAGCAATCTGTGGCTTGATCAAGGATTTAATGAGTTACTAATGCAGGGGCAGATACCAAGGAGGTCCAACTAATAGATAGGAACGAGGACTCAGTCCAGATTCTACACGGCCTCACGCTGATCATGCAAGTCGTTCTGATCATTTCCTGCAGGGCAGGTGGGACAAGCTGGGAGGAAGAGGTGGGAAGTAGAAACTGAGAGAGACAATTTGATAAGAGATAAGGTGGCCGGTGAAGTTATTGTGATGAAAAGTGAATTGCAGATGGCATGTGTGGTGATGTGGATGGATGGGTGGAAAAAGAAGAGGGAGGGGGGAGGTGGCACACTCATGACAGGATGAGGCATTGCTTCAAAGGACCGATATAGCAACAAGAAGCTACAATAAACGAATAAAACACCAAAAATACATAAATGGCCGTGTGAATTAGGCTGCGTTACAAAAAATGGAACTTCATACTGTAACCTTAAATAAAATGAAAAAGTTCAAACTAAGTATGGACCAGTATTTGGTTTCAAGGTGTACTACAGTATATTAAAACATCACCACTTCAGTCGAATTGTTCCTATGGTTTAAATTATTTCTAGTAAGATGCCAAAAACAGTTATATATTTTTTTCTGGTTATAATTAGCACAAGGTAGTGCTCCCCCCTCCCCTACCTGTTTCTGTGAGCTGTCATCAGCTGTGTATGATGCTCAAAGGAGGAAAGTTACCACAAACTTTTCCCCCTTGTTTAAAAAAAAAAAGAGACAAAGTCTGTAGTTTGGAAAAGTTTCCAGTATTAAAAAGACACAGATGGTCATGGCTTGTCTATCAGAGGAGTGATATATTCTGCACAATAAAAATATTTATTTGAGAACTATATAACCATGGAAGAAGGGACATTAGTTACAATTCTCCTTTTAAGTCAAATAAAGTACGTAGATGATTTTTGAAGTAAATATTTCTTATCCTATAATAATGAAAAAAGTCCCTCAATGTTTGGCTCAAGGATCTCTCATACTGGTCCATGCCTAATTGGAAAAATCTCACCAAGGTCTGCATAAAATCATCTGTTAATAGGACGGTAGTAGCAGAATAGATACGATTACTGGCACTGATCATTAACAATTCATACAAGTGCAGTTTCTGACATATATATATGAACTACAGGCGACAGCATGAGTGTCTAAATTTGTTGCTGAATCCCTCGGTGTGACTGGACTTGATCATGCATCGTTACACAAACAGCCAACAACAGAGAGCACCATCTGCTGCTCAGAAAGCACCACCGAATAAATGCCTGTTTAAAACAGGACGATGCACCTAAAGCCACAACTATTTAACACCAAGAACTTACATTGTTATATAACTTTATGTGTAATGTATATATAATATTCTAATTTACAGAATTGTAATGTTACGTTATGAAGGAAAATATCTGACCTTTGTCTCCAAATCTACATGCAGGATCGAATCTCTCCTGCACACATTCATTGTCTCAAACATGCAACTTGCTCCACAGCCTTTATGATGCAGAAGCAGACGGTTAATAAAAAGTGTGTGCAGAATAATCATCTTTAATGCATGGCTCTTTGTATCAGGTGCAGGGGTATGTAAAGGCAGCAGGGACTGTAACCAGAGTCGGTCACTTTAATACAAAGATGCGTGAATCCTCAAAACAGCAGGCAGGGAGGTGAAAGCAGATGCAGTTGCAGCAGGAGCAAACAGCTTAAACCACGCAGCCGAGCTGAAGTGCCAGGGCAGAGCACTCACTTTCCCAGGAAATCCCACACCATGCCCCCTATCTGCTGGGGGGCAGCGGACACAGAAGGGAGCGGGTCAGAGGGCGCTCTGCCACCGGGACGAGGGGTGGGGCGGTGGATTGTGGAAGGAGGGCTGGGGTATATTTTTTGTTTGATTGTGTTTTTTTATATATTTTTAGGAGGATGAGGTTGAATAGATTCGTAAAGGGAGATAAGGAACAGATTGATGAATCAGGATGAAGTTTGAGGGGAAAAAAAAAACAGAAGGAAGTTTAACAGAAGTGAAAATCGATCAATTTTAAGGAAGAAGGAGACAAGACAGAAAAGGAAACAATGAAAAAAGTGGGTAAAAATGACAACAAACGACAAAAACATTCAATGAACACACTGCTAACAATTTAGCAAAGCACACAATAAAGTGGTCTGTGTTATCATTTTAAAGATTTTAAGATCATTTATATTTATCTTTTATATTATTTTGGTAGGTCAATGAGAGAAGAGCATAATTCAAACAATCTTTATGTCATCTTATTAAAAGAGCTTTTTTTTTTTTCTCTGTCAGCCAAGTCAAATACTAAACAAGTTTCACTCTGGAACATCGGAACCATCTAAGATCCTAATCCAACACTGAAACAGATCCCTGAGAGCTCATGCAAGATGACAACCTCATAATTACAAACTTACATGGCACAAACCAACACAAAATGTAACCGATCAGAAAGTAAATGACTGACAGGGACAAATAATGTGGGATAAACCTTCAGCCCTGATGCTCATTAGAGTTTGACATGTTCTTCCCACTTGAGCAACGTGGTAAACTAAGCTCTCACAGCACAGACGTAAAATTTCCTGACAACATGGATCTTATCATTGTGACAATTAACATATGGAATGAAGAAAAAAATTTCAAGAAAAAAAAAATAAGCCAAACTACAACGCAAGAAACACAACAGAGTCCATTTCATCCATCAGGATTTCAAACCGCTCAGCTCTTAAGTTAATCAAAACCAAATCCAGAGACCTCGACCCAAAACTCACAAGATCCTAAAATCTGCTTCTTGCATGTGGTTTAATGCTGTAACACGTAATATTTAAATACAAATAGAAAAAATACATTTAATAGAATGAAATTAAACTTAAGGCTATTAAAAAGAAATGCACTCAGGATCAACAGTGACGTACAAACAAAACTAACAAAAAGCAATTTGTCACAACTCCATCTGCACAACAGCACAAAATACAAGAAGAAAAAAGAGCAAAGGGGGTCTATTTTTCTCAAATTACTTTAAGAAAACTGATGAAAAGTAGATTTTCTTACATTATGTAGAAACGGAAGAATTGTACATCCATCTATTTCTCTTCTTTTGTAGTATAACATTTTGTTTGTAAGTTAACGTAGCCTTTAGAAACATTACATACATATAGGCACAAAATGTGTTTAGACTAAATGTTCTAACAGAACTGGTTACCTTTCCAGCTCGGCAATTTTCTTGTCCTTGTCGTTCTTCTCCGTCTCCACCTCGCGCAGGATGTCCAGGAGTCTCTCCACCTCCGTCTGAGCTTTGGAAACTTCGTCCTTGTAGTAGCCCACTTCTTTCTCCAGCAGCTTCACTCGGTCCACGTACTCTGGGTTCGCTCTGGAGCCCGACTGCTGCTCCACCTCGTGAGCTTTCTGCAAACGGCACACAAAGAGCAGACACAAACGTGTGCATGCCCCGGTGACACACTCAGTTGACATCTGTGTCAGCACAGCCATGCAAAGTGGATTTTCTCCTGTGCTTGAAGGAGAGACACACACAGCAGTCCGTCAGATTTACATCCTGTTTTCCTGCTCCTCATCGTTGTGTACAGTCAGTTTTGTTGACCAGGGCATCATTACGGCTGCTGGCTCATTAGTTTTAACTGGGCTATTATTTAGCTCAGTTTAAACGGCCCTTTGAGACTCCCCGCCATTTTGCACAGTTGGTGAGTCTGCAGATTTGTGTATGTGTGTGCTTTTGTGTTTTCTACAGCACTAAAGAAACAAAAAGCAAGAAAGTGAAAAATAAATTATGGATCGTTCCCTGACTATCAAAAGCAGAGCTTTCCCTTTAGGTCGTTCTGAACAAATCTCATGAAAATCTGAAAAATTAAGTTGATCACAGTAGTACACAACACCCCTGAGACAAAACAAGTTACACAGAGCCATCCACCAAAACACTGCAGTGAACTCCACCTACAGCTGATACAACACTGAGATCAACAAGAATCAACACTGGCAACATGCAACAAGATTGAACAAATCATGCAAACCCACCAAAGCTGAACACTATTTGCATTTATCAGTCAAATGAAGAAGGAGCAGCAAGAGCAACTCAGTGGTTCAGATTTCAGAGCTTAAGCAAGAATATCTAAAAAGCTGGACTCTGCAACCACGTAAGAGCATTAATGTGGTTTAAATAATTGCAAAGCATTGTGTTTTGAATGTTCTTCTTTGTGGTTTAATGATTTTATTCTACTTTGTTTCAGTTAAAGGTATGATAAAACTTGATCCCAGGTTAAATGCTCTAAATTCAGCATATTATTTTATGAGTCTCTGTGAAGAGGTGGTTGTTTGTTCTAATCTTGCAAACTGCATTTAAATGCTCTGCTGCAAAGCTGGATATTGCATTATGGCCCAGCTGTCTGAACTAAAAATTTCCATTAATAGACTTTTGGAATTACAAAGTATTTGACTTATTTGAGCGTTTTTTGTTTGGCTAAAGCAAAATCACACTTTTATTGAACAAGCAATAAAGCCAGTTTAGAGCTCATTTACCAAGGTGATTATTTATTTTAAAATATTTAAATTTTTTTATACTTATTATGCTAAAACAGTAGTTTGGATTTTTTGAGGTGGAGTCGGTGCAGGTTTTAAACAAATAATGTCTTATCTGCTGTAGGCTTTTTAAATGACTTACTTTGGAGAAATACATTTTATTCTAACTAGTTTTGTCTAGTTCAAGTACTGTCAAACTCAAAGTGGACTGCTGGTATTTTAAAACAACTACAGTCTCAAAACTTTGATGCAAATGCATTTTATAGACTTCTACATGGCTTTGGATTTCACATTAAACAGTTATTTACACAACATTTTATTGGCAGCAGCAATTTGCCATAGCACTTCTGGTGCCTGGAGTATTTCTGGCAGGAAAATCCATTTTGTGTGTGTTATGGTTTAAATTATGGTATTTACATGAATAATAACAATTGAGATGGCAGCAATCTTCCTTGGTCTTGTTTTAACTATCCATCAGCTCATCAACTTTATTTCTTAAAACAGTCATTGTTAAACAACCATCTATAGCAGTTGAACTGTTAATTGTTCATAATGTTGGTGTTTTTTTTGTTTTTTTTTACTGAACCCCATTATAAAAGATTTTAACTATCCCCTTAAACTTTTTTTGGTACTTATTTTGCTGTTTGCCTTATCTACTAATAAAGTTGTCCCTCGCTACTTCGTGGTTTGATTTTCATGGACTCGCTATTTTGCGGTTTTTCAAAGTAAGATTGAACACGAGCAAAAAAAAAAAAAGTGCCACCATTTTGTAGTTTTATCTCAATAAGCCTTTACTGTATTGCCAGTCTAAAATACAACGTTACCCAGAAGGCAACAGTGCGCTACCTAGAAGGCAAAGTTGCTTTCTGCTCGAAGGAACATTTTGATCCGATCGCAAAAAGTTTGGTCCTTACAGTATTCACAGTGACTTCGGTGCTCAGTGGATGCAGAGAGCAGATCAGAACCGGACCAAGGGTGGGTAGGTCTTTCAAACCAGAACTGAGCTGGATCAGAACTGAGCTGTGTGTTCTGCAGAGTAAACTTTTACTTTAGTTTAGTTATTTAAATTAGTTAGTTGACTGAACTGTTTCGGTATGTTGTTTCAACTCAGAAATCTGTCAATTTTATTTAGCAGATTTTCACATATTGAGCCGGGGGTCCGGAACATAACCCCCGAGATAAACAAACGATGGACTACTGTTTTCTTGGCTCTAGCTCATTTTACTAACATTGCCACTAGATATTCAAAGTTCTTGTTTATGGCTCCTTACATGAAGCCTGTATTTCATTAGTAATCAGCACACCAGCTATCATTCAGGAACCATCTTTCCCAGTATACTTACTCCCTGGTTTACCTCTCTTATTGTTCAGACCTTCGTCTATGCACCTGTTAATCTTATACATTGCTCTTGTAGATACCTGTTGTTTGATTATTAGAGGTGTACTTTTGATCCTCATCCACCTGCCTCCTGCATTAAGGCCTTTCAAGACCCACTAAACGTGTCAGTTATAGCCTCTGAAGTTTAATGCAAGTGTCAAGTGAATGCTACGTTATGTACACTATCGAAACACCCAGTTGAAAGAACACCTCAACCCAATTATGTTTGGTAAGTAAAAATTTCTGTAGAATTACAGCAGATGTCAACAGATGAAAAAAAAAAACCCTGACGCTAGCTTCACCACATGTTACACACAACAAGTCACAAAAAGAGTACACACAGGACTCTCAGTGCAGAGTAAAGCTTATATCAGTACAGTGCAATGGGGTAACATGCATGTGGATGGGAGAAAGCAGTGCCTGTGCTGGGATTTGCCATGATCTAGCATATTTCAACGAAGTTCTCAGTGTCTTCATGCTTTCAAAATGTGCCGCACAGGCCTCAAGAGACGGACTTACAGGATTGTTCATGTGACTGAATAGCTGCTCAGCTTGCTACATTGCAAATGGAGGGGTGGGAGGGCGAGGAAGGGACATTGAAAGGGGAGGGGGTCCAGGAAGAGTAAACGTTAGGGCTTAGTTTGAGCCGAAGGAGATAACAGTAGGATCAGACATGTTATAGTACACGTTTGATGGATGGATAACACAGTTTCAGTCCAGAACTTGGTGTTAAAGGTTAACAACAGCGCAACACTGCAGAGGAACAGACACCGGGATAATCTGTGGATTATGGAAATGAAGAATATGGATGCTGTTGTTTTAACAAGGTTTCTGCTCTGGACGTCCCAAGCCGAACTGAACCATTGGAAATGGGTTCCAATCAACTTCTGACATTTGTTGTTGACCTACTGGCTATGGTTTGCTGTTAGCCATGCTGGAACACATCTGTAACACTGTGGTGAAACGTGCTGGTATGTCTGCAGCATGAAATAAAAAATGAGAGCCTTTCAGTATACGTGCAATATTTGAAATTTGAGTATTTCTCATGGCGGCAAGGATAGAGCTGTATTTAATACCAGTTGAACCAGACATTTAAAATCCCCACACAGTCAGAGAAGTACACTAAGTTCACCTAGCTAACTGTCAAAGCTAGCACGACTGAGCAACACATTTTAGAGAAAACTCTAAGGAGCAGAGACAAGTTTCCATGGGACAACAATAAGGCAAAAAAGATCCCACAACAGATGACTGAATTTAATGCCATAGTGAAAAAAGCAGGTTTTTATTGCCTTTTGGAACAGTTGAAGCTATGCCCTGTCCTCCCAACGTTACATAACCAACTCAGCGCTACCTGGGATAAATAGAAAAGGTTGCTTTCTGCTGGCATGTTTGCTTTATTTCTTGAAAATGAAACAGCAAAACTAGGAAGAACATGAACATTTACTGCATGTAGAACTTCTTGAGTGTCAATCAAGATCACATAGTCAACTTCATTAATAAAAACTTACATTTGGATTGTAATTGACAGTTATGTGCTGTGAACAAGCAGAATAATTACTCAGATCGACATCATGAATTCATCAGGACATACAGTATGTCCCAGTACATCCCAGTACAATGGATGGTAGCCACTAACCTGTTGAACTGTGCCACATTTTCTGAACGTTACTCAACGACAGAACTGGTTTCATAAATGATAACAATAATTTCAATGTTAGATCTGTGTGTCCTTTATATAACAAAAATTAAAAAAAATGAAAAGCCAGTTTTGGTGATATCGATGGGTTGTTTTATAATTTGAAAGTGGCAGTTTTCTCATGTAATCAGCTTTGTATGATTTTTAATTGCAACTGAATTTGTTTAATTTTTTTTCACTTTTCATCATAAATATCCAATTGAATTAAAATCCATGTTTTCCAACCAAATCATTGCGCTTGTAGTTCTTCCTGGATAAAAGCATTCATCAGTCCATCCATCAGTTTTTATCTATCAGTTGAACTTTAAGTTTTAGATATCAGGTGACAGCTACTATCATTGTGTGTCTGAAAGATGAGGGACTCTGCTGATAGTTACCACTGTAATCCGATTTTTACAATACTTTAACTTGGTAATTACACTAATTATCACAAAACAAATGTAAATATTTCAGCTCACTCCAAATCAAGCAGTTAACAATGGTTGAAGGTTTGACTCATAAAACAAAATCAACTGTGAGTTTAAGCTGAGAAACACAAACTTACCTTCTGCAACTGCGTCTCCAACTTACTACACTCCTCTTTCTTCTGCTCAATGGCAATCTCCAATGATTTGAGCTTCGAGTCCTTCTTCAGGCCGGAGGACGCCAGAGACGATGCATGCTCTTTGAGATCTATGAGGCTGGACTGCAGAAAGAGAGTGAACACAGATGGTTAGCACAGACCCAGCAGCCTGTCAGCAGGTGGAACGCAGAGCCAGAGGACAAAACTTAAATGTGAAAGCTGTCTGAAAGAGAGAGAGAGGTGAGGTGCATGCAGTTCACAACAGTACAAACACAACGGCAGAGTCATGCAGACGCACATCGATAGACACTGACCTCTTTCTCTGTTAATTCTATCTGCAGGCTGTTGACCTTCTCCTTTAGCTCCTTGTTCTCCTTCTTGTAAAGGTCCACCTCTTCCAGACGTTCTCTGTCCTCCCTCTCCCTTTGGTCCTTTAATCGCTCTATAATTCTCTCCTAGCATACACACAGCATCAAACGTGTTTTAAATTATTTAATAGGGTTCATATTTCATAAACTTCTGAGAATCGCATTCAAACTTGCTCAGATTTGGAGAAGAAAAAGGACAATTTTGGTCAGGTCTTAAAAATCTAGTGAGCAACCCTGCACAGAAAATTCACTCCATTGTTTTAAAAAAAAAGAACAAAAATGTGTTGTTTAACATTAAAATATGATGACTTCACAAATTTAATATTATAAATAAAACTATAGATATAATCTATTAAAAATAAAAATTATTTGGGTTCAAAGGGACAGTTCTCCTTAAAAAAAAAAGTTGTATTATCCCTTTAAAAGCAGTCTAAAGCTTCATTCCTGAAGCAGGAACACAGGTCAGAACAGAGCTAACATGTAAATATACATGTGGAGCCAACCTGCACTTAAAAGTAATTTTGACTAATTAAAAAACAAACTTTAAACAGGTGAGAAAGTCATAACGAATTCTGCAGAGTAACATCATAAAAACTGAATATGAAATCATTTTATCTAGATTAAGAAATGCTTCAAAATTTAAATGCTTTGATGAGCTTTTAAACAAGAGATATACAGTAACTGGTACATTTCAGCAGAATAAAATGAGCCACTCTCTCACAATGAGAATAAAGTCATCGCACAGTTAGATGCATATAGTGGTCTGCTATCTTTATGATCCAAAGAGCCATTTATGCCCCTTCCTTCACTAAATTAAAATGTCCGGAGCCAAAAAACCTGCTCCAACTGTGATTATCAACTGGTGGCCCATGGACCACTTTAGGTTTGTTGGAGGAGGCTTTTCAAGCCAGTAGGAATGACATAATAAGATTAAAAATATCTAATGATTTTTAACACTTGTTAATATTTTTACATTTTAAGACAAAAAAAAAAGACTAGATTATTGTAAAGAAGGATTATATTTTTATGTATAGTTTTGACCAATTAAAACAACGAAATAAAGACAATGAACTATGTAGGTCTTTAATGTGGAAAAATTAAGTATCCTACTTTAAAGAAATAAAGCATCAAGTTAAAGTGAGTATGTTTTACTCCTTGTATTAGTACTAGTATTCACAAATTTGTAAAATAAATGACATGAAAATGTTAAAACTAGCAGTAGTTTGTTGGTTTTGGTTAAAGCTTGAAAGAGTCGCTGCAGAGGAACCAAAGGGTCGCGTGTGGCTCCAGAGCCACAGAATGCAGACCCCTGGTCTATGTGTTCATACTGAATTTTAACTCTTTTTAAATAATATTATTTAGTCATTGCACATTTTATGTAATCCTGCTTTTGCTGTTTTTACAGTAACTATATAAGACATGCTTTTTGAAACAGTGTTATTGATTTTATACTCTCCTTTTTTTTTTTTTTCCATTTACCTTTATTTATACAGGTAGTCTCATTGAGTCACGAGAACTCATTTTCAAGAGAGGCCTGGTTTTTTGGGAGCAGATGGTGGGGGTTAAGGGCATTGCTCAGGGGCCCAGAGTGGGGCAAATGAGGGTGGAGGCAGGTGTTAGTGTTTCACCTTTTCCACCCACATTTTGATGTTGACGGTACTGGGAGTTGAACCTGCGACTTTCCGATCACAGGCCCACCTTCTCTAATCTCTGCATCAACACTCCCCTACATAGTAAATACTATCAGTAAATGAGTTAATAAAATTAGGCCTATTTTAACTGATCTTATTCAAGAATGTTTGTAAAGCTAACCTACTGGACAAAACAGGTGTCAAAGGTGTAAAGTGTGACCCTTCGAACCCATTCTGACCCTTCTCTCCTGATGCTACAGTACTGAGCCACACCTTTTCTGACAGTGCCTCCTCCAGGGTGGCCAGGGCAGTGTCTGTGTTGCTGGAGTCGGTCTGCAGAGACTTTATCCTGTCCTTCAGGTTCCCCAGCTGCTTGTCTTTGTCTCTCAGCTGCTCCTGCAGGTTCTCAATCTGACACGGAAAGACAAATAAAACGGCACAAAACAGTAAGATCAAAACCAGAGCAGTGTTTGCAATCTTGAAAAATCAAATGAGGCTTTGTACAAAATCTTTACAGTTAAATAAGCAAAGTATTCAAAGACAACATAGCTGTGAGAAACAGAAGATGGTGTATATTTACAGATGACTTCTAATTCCAAATGAATGGAAATTACCAAACCAAAGCAGAAAAACTCAGTTATGGTCTTCTATGTAAATAAGAAATCTAAATAGTTAGGATTATGAATAAAAGACTAAAGAAAATGGTATGCATGTATTTCTGAACGATGTCAGCACTATAGTTGTTTGGAGGTAGTTCAAAAACAAAAAGGCTCAAATAGAAAATTTTGACTGTCTTTAAAAAATATATACATATACAAGTTTGTGTGATTTTGATACCAGCGACATCTTCCAGAGCTTTTTTCTGTGCATTTTTAGAACATATTTAGAGCTGTTGCCTCTCAGCAAGAAGGATGCTTGCTCTCTCCGTGCATGCGTGGGTTTTCTCCGGGTACTCCAGTTTCCTCCCACAGACCCAAAAACATGCATGCTAGGCTGATTGATAACTCTAAATTGTCCCTCTAGTGAGAGAGTGAATGATTGTTTGTCTCGCTTGTCTCTAAGTGTCCCTGTGATGGACTTGCGACCTGTCCAGGGTGTCCCCACTTCTTGCACAGTGACTGCTGGATATGGGCACAAAGGCCCCCGTGACATGAAAAGGAAGAAGGGGGTAAAGATAATGGATGGAACATCTTTCAAAAAGCAAAGTTGTTTTTAGTTACCATTATTACATCAGTTGCAGTGTCAGTGTTTGGCATCTGGGGAGACAAACTGGAGTAGATTATAGTCAAATGTTTTATTTTTACTTTTTAACATAAGATTTTACCTCATACAGTTTAGGGACTTTGTTGTCAGAGTGTGTTGCATCACAAGTTTGACTGCAAGAACAGCACTTTATCTGCCAGACTCTGACTCTGAAACGTTTAAGTTGGAAAGTACACAGTGTTTTGTTTTACATTTTTCTACAGAGGAAGATAAGTCTTTACCTAAAACAACATGACAGATTTGTTGTTTTAGGCAAATGCATTGCTATTTGCTGCTGCACATCCTTTCTAGCCTGATCCCTCCGTCTCGCCAATCAGTACAAGTCCTTCTCACCCTCTTTACTTTCCAGCCTCCCATACAACCCATCATATGCCTTCTGCTTTGCCTTTGTCTCCTCCCTCTTAAATATGTGCTTTAAATTAATATAAAATCATTTCATGTTTTTATCCTTCAAGAGTCAGAAAAGAAAACACACTCACATCAGGAGAAACCAGAACAAAGACCAAAAAAGGGAGATAAAAGTGAATCATGAAAACAAAGAATGTGATCAGGTCACAGATAAAGGCAAAGTAACACCAGCGAGTATTTATAGCAGACACACAGACAACAGTGAGGCAGACGTTTCTTTCTTCTTGTCTTTCCATGGAAATCATCCTGCAAACTGTATTTTCACAGAGTGGCTGTTTTTGTCCAGAAATCTGAAAAAAACTGAAGCTGAAAAACTGTTCACTTAAAATTTCCGACAACGCAGGATACTACACTTCACTGTAGTCAGCGATTAGTGTTACAACATCCAGTTTGGATATTTATTCTACTATTTAAAAACGCAAAGGCAGTGAGCTGTCCTCCACTCTTACCTTTTTCTGCAGGACATTAATCTTCCTTTCCTTGACCTCCAGCATGTCCTTCATGTCCCTGATTTCTCCGGCGAGGGTTCCTTTCTCCTCTGTCAGGTCCTGCAGCTGTTTGGTTTTCTTGTTCAGGAATGACTCCTTCTCTTCCAGACGCAGACGTAAGGCATCGACCTGAAGCCCACCACAGCCACAGATAAAAGTTCATGCCAGCTCATAGGGAAACAGGCTTGCACAGCGCTGGTGTTGGCACTTATTTGAAACAAAACTTTTATTATTTGATAATCAGCTAGAAAAACTACATTCATTCAAAGTGTGTCAAATTACCTTTAATGGACAGTTTAGATATTTTACAGTGGGGTTGTGTGAAAAGGTTGTGAACAACAATATCTTACCTGTCATAGATACATCTTTGAACATCCTCATTCTGAAGAAATATAAGTCTAACAAGCTAACAGCTACTCTGATTGGAGCCATAAACGGTGTAGATTGATACTGTTATTCTCAAAAATATCATTGCAATTGATGCAAATGCTACTTTATAAACATTTACATTAGGTTCAGTTTCTCATTACATAGTTGTTCACATATGAATCTTTGGTTATTTGCAAGGACAGAAGCAGCTAGCTGTAGCTCTTTCTGTATAGCCTGGGGCAAAGCAGGAATGTTGCAGTATTTTGCTGGATTAACCATGAAATGTGGTACTGACAGTAGTGTAAGGATTTATAAAGCAGCATCCACATGAACTGATATGATCATTTTAAACTGAAGTTGTAATAAAATGACAGCAGTCTACTTTGGCCCTGGTCCCACTCCGACTAATCTTCAGAACAAATATATTTCTTCATACAAAGGTCATTCAAAAATCAGGTAAGATGTTTATAGTTCACAACATTGCCAAAGGACATCAATTCAAAAGACATGGACAATCACTTCATTTCCCATGCTACTGATGTAAAAAAAACATGCAGGCGGTTTTGTTGATACGTTTTGCAACAATTTACAGTGCAGCAACAACAACTGATGGGTAGCATCCTGACCCCAATGTAAAATGTACTTATATTACCTCTGTTTGCAGGATGGCAGCACGTTGCTCCTTGGCAGTGAGCGATTCTTTGAGCACCTCGATATGCTGTTTGCAGTCTGAGTTCTGGTTGTTGAGGGTCTCTAGTTTTGTTTGCAGAGCCAGCAGCTCCGACTCTTTCTTTGACAACTCCTGCTTCAGTTGGTCAATCTGCACGACACACAACACAGACCTGTGAACGGACCCGTGTCATCTGCAATGTGATGGTGTGTGTGTGTGTGTGTGTGTGTGTGTGTGGAGGAGGGGCAGTAAAAGAAAGCACATCTGGTTGAACAGTGGGCTCGTCATTGCAGCTTTAACACAGTTTTCATCAACACTTTTTCTCTCATTAAAAATGCATTTGGGACTGACTCCCCTCTATTCATCATATATTATACATCATCTCTATTCATGATTGATGAAAAGATTCCTAAAAATAGAGAAATAAAACGGAGGCCGCTCTGCTCCTGAGCTCATTGTAAACACAGACTCAAACCACTAAAAAGATAATCAAAGCAACTTAATATTAGTGGTATTAAATGCTCACGCAGGAAATTTAAGAATCTAACTCTGAATTTCACGTGAGCTCATGCGTGAAATGTAGGCTGCTGTTGATTCTGCGCTTTTCTACTATTTGAACATTATTATTATTACCACAAATAATTCAATTCAATTCAATTCAATTCAATAATACTTTATTAATCCCAAAGGGAAATTATTTTGTTGTTGTAACTCGTTATCCTCATTTCATTAAGAGATGTTATAGATACTGATGGCTGTAGACAGGAAGGATCTCTTGTAAAGGTCCATCCCACAGTGGATCCTAAGAAACTGGCTGCAGATGCCGTCCGATCCATCCACCCAGACTCGGCTGGCCTCTCGGTTCCCCTGGACTGTAGGACCGCTTGAATGCTGGGCAGAACTCCTCCCAGAGCGATGGCCACTCCTCCCAACAGTCTGCCGAGCTCCTCACAGCCGCGGACAGCCAACTGCAGGTGCCGAGGGACGACCCCGTCTATCCGCTGTCGTGAGCTGCGTCTCCTGCTAGCTCCAGGATCTCAGTGGTCAGGCACTCGAGCACAGCCGGCCGGTAGATGAGAATGCGTCCACAGAACATCCTTTTCAACTCATTTGAGAGTTGGGGCCATAGTTGAGATATTATTTGAGCTTTTGAGATGTTATTCAGCTGCTGTTGTTGTAGAAAACTGCCTTGTTGCCATGGTTACGCATCATAACAAATGTCCAAAACCAAAAAAGTTTCGGTAAAAATCCTTCCAGCTGCACAGCATCCGATACCAGAGGAAACAATCGTCCAAAAAATGTGATTTACATCCAGAAAACCAGGAATTAAAGTTTCCAAAGGCAAAATCTCAGAATGAAAGTAACAGAGCTGCTCCAACATGCAGCCACCTTGAGCGGCGCAATTCTAGAATAATGGGTGATAATGTAAATGTCTGTGTATGAGAGTGTGTGCAAGCACGCATGTTTATTTATCTGTCTGTTAGCAAAATATCTCATGAACTAGTGGACAGATTTTAATCAAACTGAGAAAGTAATCATTACGTGTATACATCTACAACTGATTACTCTGACACACACATTCATGATGGACTCTGACACACACACACTCCAAATACACACAACTACTTTGTTGTACTGTTTGTGACTTGTTTTTACTTGCACATTTTTGATATCTGCTCAAGTTTTGCATTTTTGCACCTTACACATTTTTTTTTTCTCTGTTGCTATAAAAAGAGAAAACTTTGCGCTGCTAACCACATGCAGAACATGTTTCTACCCCATGTACATTACCACCTACACATGTATACAACACATGTCTCTTGTCTTGTCTCTTAATTACTTGTTTAGATTGAAACGTTTAGATCAGGTTAGATGTCTTATTGCATTTTTTTATAGGTCTGTTTGTATTTATACTGTTGTGTATCTGCACTGTGTTGTATATTTTTGCACGCTATATTCTGTGTTGCACCGTGATCCTGGAGGAACGCTGTTTCGTTTCAATATGTACTTGTACACAGCTGAAATGACAATAAAACCTCACTGACTCTGACGCTGGCTCTGATTAACTTTTAAAGTTAACCTGATTTTGTTCCTGTAAAGTGCCCCGAGACAACTTTGTGATTTTGCGCCATATAAATAAACTGAATTGAACTGATTTACACTGGACGCTATAGTTAAGAGACCTTACCAAACACAAAGATAGTTATAAGCCAGTTTTCTAAATATTGAGCTAAAACTTGGTGTGGCAGTAGCTAAAAATCAGTGCTAACAGACTGCACAAGATTTTTGTTTAATACTTTGGCAAAAACTCTTCAAACTAAATATGATGGTTATCTGTTAAATATGTCATGAAACAACAGACAGATTTTAATGAAACTCTCAGAGGGACTTATGAAATGTCCTTCTACAACTTACTGTTAACTTTTAAAGTCGGCCTAATTCAAGAGGGTCTCCACATGTGATGAACTTAAACAGCATAAAGTCAGTCAGTTTATTAAATATTGAGTAATTTGGTGTGTTAGGAGCTGAGAGTGATCCCCAACACGTACTCTAAGCTTACAGGTCATGCAAGATCTTGGTTCCAAACTTTATCAGCAGGTGATTTGCATTCCTTCAACGGATTCTAATGTCATTATTTAAATAAAAGGAATGAAGAATCATGATTTATCACGTAAAATAAAAGTGATAAAATACCTCTACTTTAGCATGCGTGTAAAAATAAAGAGCAGACAACTTGTAGACTTAACAGATCCCGTCTGTTTGTTTTAATGTCGTCTCTTCACTGCATCGTTTTATCCGCATGCACAGCGCCGAGGGATTTTACCTTGGTCTTCATAAACTTTGAGTGGTTCTTGTAGACCTCCATCTGTTTGATCTCCTCCTCTCGGTCCTCCGTGTTCAGTAAACTGTTTGCCTTCAGCATTTGGATCTCATCCTCCAGATCTCGAATGTTGCGCTCCAAGGAGGCAATTTTGGTGTCCTGCACAAACACATGCGGAGGAGACACACCTCAAAACCAAGAGCGGCATCTCCTCAAATAAACCTGAACTACAGACAAGAGTCCAGGAGGAAGCAAACTGAAAGTGATGAAAATATTGGGACAGACGGAGAGAATAAAGGGGAGAAATGTGTAGATAGAGAGAGATAAAGAGAGCGGAAGAAGCTCTGTGGGCTGACTGCAGTATCTGTCGGTGAAATCAAAAGCTTTCTACCCATCTCCTCGCAGCAGCTCAAAGGATTAATCACCATTGGGAAATATTGAGCGCACATCCAGCACAGATTGATCCGGCAGGAATGAAGAGAAACGTGCAGAGTGAGAAAAATAAAAAAGGAGGAAAAGTAACAAGCTTTAGTTTGAGTCGTTGCTTGCAGAGAAAATGCAGAATCAAGTCTCTGGACTGTGACTCGGAGCGCAGCTTTAGCTTCATGGCTTTTTAAATAAATAATACCACGTCTTTAAGATTAGCTATGGTTCATCTCCCTCTCCAGCAGAGCGCAGAGCAACCTTGCTCCTTCCTTTCTTTCTCTCTCCCTCTCTCTTCTTTTAGTTCTCTCCATCCTCTCTCTCTCTGTGTGGCTCTGAACTCATGAACTTGTGGCTGTTAGCAGGGTCAGTCCCAGCCCGCTGCAGGAGAGCATCAGTGCAACAAGGACTTGAGAGCGTAACGTTAATGCATGAGCATCCCTCGTGTGCATGCACTTCGCCCTACTGCTGCATCTCACCTCCATCTCTGTTACGAGGAGAACATCAATGAACTGACATTTCTGCAATAGACTTGAGACGGCGTACCTTCAAAGCTGAGTGACTTTATTCCGTCCACATGTAAACCACTGGCACTTGGACCTGGTCTGTAAATCTGTCTCCCTGCATCTGTGCATGTCTCTGTCTGTCTATCTGCCTGCAAACTGGCCTCTCGCTGTCATAAACAACCACACCTGTTTCCATGGCAGCAGCAGGCAGGCTATGTACTGTCTCTGGTGAGTGAGGAAGAGGGAGAGGGGGGAGAGGGAGAGAGGGAGGGTGGATTTTTCATGCTACCATCAGCATCGATGGAGCAGGAGAGAGGAGGCATGCAGGGTCTTCCTCTTTGGTACAGGAGGAGGAGGAGGAGGAGGGGGCGGGACTTCCCTCACCACCGTATGAAAATCAACAGTGTCTCATAGCCTTGATGTCACATGACCATTCAGAGTGTCTGGGTGGGGGCAATGGGCTTTTTGCCGATCCCGCCGAGCGAGAGGGGCTGTGTCAGCTCAGCCATGATGTCATGATTTATTTTGAGGAAGTGATGTCAGGCCTCTGCAGTGAGGCTGCTGGTGTCTACAGCCATTCAGGATATTTCTCTTTCATATGCTTTGCTGTACAGAGTTCTCAAAGAGACATTTTTCAGGCAGTTTAAAACTAAATGCACGTTTGAGCATTAATACTTCAGCATCAAACAAATAAATAGGTGTAAAAATAGGATTTTATTGAGCTGAAAGCTAAAAATAGTGCCTGAATCTGCAACAAAACTTTATCTTTTTAATATTGTATTTTCCCTTTATAAAACATTTACCATCAAGTATGAAAATTTTTCCAAGTATAGTTCTAAAACACAATTGTTAAAACTAAATTACTTTCCAACAAGAGTGAAAACATTTTTGAACTTGGATTTGGAAACAGCCCAATGATTCATTGAATTATCTGAAAATCTGACTCTAAAATACAGTTTGAATTGTGAATTTTAAAGATGTATTATAATTATTTATTACAGTCTTCCTGACAAATGTTTGATAAATGCAATTTTTAAAAAAAGAACACAGTAAGTTTGAGGAGTTTACACAAATCTAATCTCACTTTTTGACAGAGTTAGTTAAAGTTAGCTCTTTTTATCTAACACACTGGTTTATAAAGCTTTTATATATTAATTGATTATTAATTGTATATAAATCCTCTGAAATTAGTTTTATTGTAAAGAGTTATCTACAAAAAAATATTACTTAGACTACTTGGCAAGCCACAGTAGCTCAGTGGTAAGTGCCATGGCCTCATAATCCCAAGGCTATAGGTTCGAGCCCAGGTTGGGTCATGAAGAGCATCAGATGTAAAACTTTTGCCAAGTCGTTCATGCAAGTTTGCTCATTTGAACCCTGCACAAGGGAGAAGCCAAAAAAACAACAACTGAGACTATTTGGTCTCACAGTAAACATCAATTATTTAATTCAAACTCCTAATTTAAAAGCATGATTTGCCAATAAACATCACACATAAGCTCAATATTAATTCATAAACCTTGAATAAAAACTCAACACAAATATCAACAGCTCCTAACAACAATCATCTGTTCATAACAGTAAAGGTTAAAGTTAAAGTCCGTGATGTTTGCAAACAGTAAGCTGAAGAGATAACGACCGAGACAAATATGACAATACTTGGCATAAAACCTTTGTCTTAGTTTGACTCATCCTCTTCAACAAGAGGATAAAATGTTAAATTCTGCCTCTCGTTCTAACTTTCACAACAGCTTCATGAGGCGATACTGAGCCAGCGTGAGCGAGAAACAGAAAAATGTGACAGCGTCGACTCGTCTGCAGCAAATCACAGCGACAGCCATAGATTCAGCAGAACACACATCAGCAAAAGCCTCAGCGGGTAAAACATCACCAAAAAGTTGATCATGAAAATGTATGAACACACCATCAGCTTTTAAATGAGTAAAAAATGAATTAATAAATGATGCCTTATCTCATGGAGCTGTTGTGTGTAGTTTGATTCTGGTTGCACATGAGTGGAGTTCTTACTTTCATCTCTATGATGGTCTGCAGGGCCTTGGTTTTACTTGGGTCCTGATGGAGATGGTTTCTTCTGTGCAGCTCCTTAAAGAAAATGCAAAACAATATTAGTTCTGCTTCTTAAAGCTGAAGAGTTTGAGTAAAACCTACTAAAAATGACAACACTATGAACAGAAGGTTTGGTAAGGCATTAAATGCATCAAATGTGCTCTGCAGCTTTCAGTTCCAACATTACATAATGCATCAGGAGAAGCAGCAGATTTAGTAAAACTCAGCACTGCCACCTAGTGGTAATAAAATAAAACACACGTGAATGTAATAAAGATCACGCTTCATCACATTTTGATGCTAGAAAACCGACAAATATGACACAGTGCTAACATGAAAGCACAAGAAAGACCTTTCAACATTTTAAAAACAGAGATAAATAAAGTTAAAATGTACTTTTATTGCACTTAAGTCTGTGAAGCTGGACTATTATTAAGCAGATTCTGCACACCCAGCTAGATGAAGTGTCATATGAAACAGCAGAGCCCAATGTAGTGAGTCATACAGAAATCTGATTGTTTTGTAGACAAAAAAATAAAAAATACCGTTCTCACTGGAACATGTAGAATTGATCTATGATCAGTACAGCCGATCACAATTTTTATGGTTTTCATAACAGTTCATTTTTATACATATTTCAAGGGGCAGAGCCACTGAAAAAAGAAATACAAAAAAAAAAGGTCACTAATAGTTCTAGGCAAAACAAATGGCTGCCAGTTTGCTAAAGGTTATGTGAATCAGTGTATATATGTTAAAGGTACACATTGTTAACGCCTCACATGAGCTGTATGCTGTGATCAGTCCTAAAGCACATAGCAATAACCTTATTTTAGAGCCTTAAACTAGTATGTCCAAAATAAAACAAAAATATAGACATATAATATCACATTATTTCAGATTCCTGTCCCAACTAGAGAAATTGCATTTCCTGTGGAAATGCAGTGTGAAGGCTTATTGCAGAAGAACTTGCTAAAAAACAACTAAAATGTAGCTGAAATGGAAGCACGAGCCTAAGTTAGTAGAAGAAAGCAGAAAGAACACAAATTTACTGAATTAGGTTTAAATAAGCAGAAATTTGCATAAAAATGTGTAAATTTGCTAAAGAAAAATGCTGAAATTACCAAAAATTAGTTGAAAAAGCTTAAAGAAGTTATACCAGAAGGAAGCAAAAATAGCTGAAATGAGCACAAAAATGTGGAATTAATTGAAAAGCATTAAGTTACTATAAAAAACAGCTAAATGGTAGCTGAAAAAGGAGAAAAAACTGAAAGGAGCAGAAATAACTTGAAAGGAGGCTTAAATTAGCAGTGAGCTTAAATTAGCAGAGCAAAGTTAATTAGGCTGAAAGTAGCAGAAATTACCATGAGAACTTGAATTTATCTGAAAACAGCTTAAATTAGCTAAATATGCTATCTGAAAAAGTAGAAGATGCTTAAATTACCATAAGAAAGCAAAAAGAGCACGTTTGCCAAGTTAGGCTGAAACAAGCAAAAATGAGCACAAAAAGTGGAAATTATCTGAAAAAAGCAGAAATTTACAACAACAAAATAGTTTAAAAAAATCAGAAAGAAGGTTAAATTACCAGAAGGAAGTAGAGATAACACATTTTTGCTGAGTTAGGCTGAAAGTTGAAATTATTACAAAAAATGTGGAATTACGAATTAGCCAAAAAAGTTAAAATTGGCATAAAACAGCTAAATAGAAGCTGAAATAGCAGACAATACTGAAACCTGCATAAATAAGCTGAAAAGAACATAACAAGCTGAAATTAGCAGAAGAAGAAGTTAGAAGCAAAAAATGCCACAGTATAGTTAGCAGAAATAATCTAAAAGGATCACAAAATAGCTGAAAAAACAGCTGAAAGTAGCTGAAAAAAGTTTAAATTTGTGCAAAGAAGCTGAACCGGAACAAGATGTGAAAGGAGCAGTAAAAGGTTGTAAACAGATCTAAAGATTTGAAGGATGTAAAATGAGCTAAATTCATTTTCTATGAGGAAAAAATAGCTGAAAAGTAAATATTTCAAAAAGGTCAAGTTGCACCAATGCCAAAAGTCATAGCAGGATTGTCTTGAAAGTGCTGAACATTTTGATTATTGATTTCTTGAAATAGCACATGTAGTGAACTAAGCCTCAGGTCAAAATCTGGCCCTGAGGGCCTTCCTGGGACAAGAACTGTCATTTCATTGATTTGAATCCATTTGAGCCCATCCAGAGACTTTCTAAGTGTCCTGCACTGATCAATTGAAAGAACACTGTCTTTTTTATTATCATTACTATTTTACAAATGTCTTGATAATCAAAAGTGTGTTTAATTCAGATCATTTTTAAATGTTGAAGTTAACTACTTATTTTAAATCAACTGTGAAACAGTATTAATGATTTTTAATCCTCATTCAAAGTAGAAATCTAGTTAATGTCTGTTACAGAGTAATTATTCATTTTCTTGATCTTCTGTCTGAAATGAGCAGGTTGTAAGTCGGTCAAAAGTCGGAGACAAACGCCAACAAGTTTGTTGGAACGAACTGTCATGTTTTTAAATCCTCTCAGACGTAAATAGAGAAGCTGGCACCTGTTTCCTCCCATCTCACCTAAACATTTCTCTTGTCTGTTTCAAAAACATTTTCTGTCTGTTCCAAAACATTTTTCTGTTTTTCTGACTTCTAGTGACCTCTTACGTCACAAAAACACACCCCTGATTGGCTCTTTCGGCCAATCAGGACTTCCCAAATGAACCGGAAACAGAACTCTTTAAATGTCGACACTTCCTAGTTCCAACCAGTGCATTGGGAGAGCAGTTCAGTTCGGAGGGCAGAACCGAACAGAAAAGTTGCTGGAGAGAACAGGAGGTTCCAGACATGATCCGAAGTTCTTCCGAGTCTCGTGGGAATTATGGAATCTTCCACATCTGAGTGAAACCTCTGACGGACTCACAACTCATGTGAGCCCACCCGGGAGGTGAGCGTGTGTTGAACGAAGTACCGTCACTACTTCGGACGATTCACAGCTGTTCCTACGGAGACACTGGAAAGGTAGCGTTAAATGGAACTCCGTACCAATGGAGACATCTTCTACAGGTAAAGAGTCGATTTCCACTACCTAAGTGTACCGAGGTGAAGCTGGGTTCGGACGGAGAGTGCCGTTCGTGTGTCGACACATATTCCCTCATCCATCTTTCCCTCTCCATTTAAACTCCTTCATTTCCCATCTTTAAAACTCTTCTATCTTGCCAGTAAATCATCCAGATATTTTCATAATTGTCTGTTGTAATTAGTTAAGCTGTGTTATTGCTTCAATCAGAATAATCACGTGTACAATGTTTGATGTTAAACTTTGATTCTGTTAATAAATGACCGCATTCATTTTGATGGGTCAAAGAAAATTAACGTCTCACGTCACTGATCTCTGTCACATATCTGTCAAGTAGCTCGAAAAAGAGAGAACCCGTTTAAATTAAGTATAATATCAGGTACTTGAACTAGTCCAGATATTATAACATGTAGTGGAGCTCCGAAGCACACGAAGCTAACCGACATATCTCACTACACACAATAATCAGTAATGTGAATGCTTCATAAACATTCACACAATTAGTGGCAAAACATTGGACTAATTCCCTGGTCTCAGTGGGGCCTTTGTTTTTTGTTAATGTTGTTGTTGTTGTTGTTTTCCCCTTAACTATCCATGATCTGCTGCTATTCCTGTAGTACCTAAAAAGGCAATGTAGCACCTACCAAGAAGGCGCCACTAATTCTCACCTCATTGCATGAACTGCACTGTTGTCGGCCATCGCAGTGTATTTCTGTTTCAGTGGACAGCTGAGTGAGGGTCAGCATGCAGAGGAGAAAGTGCTCTAGCCTGGATACAAGCTTTGTGGTGTTTCTGGCTTTCTTTCTGATCATCACACATGTAAAAATAGCCAAAATAAGCTAATAGCACACTTTAATGTGCTTAAAAAGGCACCATGATTAAAACAAATAGGATACTTTTCTATCTAAATTTCAGACTTTTTGTTTTGCTCTCTGGCATCAGAAAAATAATGTTTGATCATACTAATCTATGTGCTCACATTTAAGCACAACTTTCTTCTATGGTGGTCCTTATGTTATGTTAGTGCCACATTGGTGACAGAAATTGGGATTTCATACATAATTTTATCAGCGACTTTCGGCTGAGTGATCGGCTACCTTGAGTTTGTCCTGATGCATGCGCTACCAAAGTTAAGTCAGGTCCTCTGGACTGATTCTTCTTCGTTGAAACATTTGTCTTTTTCCAAAAGACTTCTTCAGTCAGACTGAAGAGCTTTAAGCATGCTTTTTTATTTAAGGCTATGTGTTTTTACACGATTCTCAACTTCAGACACAGAAATGAATATTACTGTTGTGAACTTCAACCCTGACACAATTTGAACATAAAAAGGTGCCATGAGGTTAGTCTTAGTGTACCTCTCGCAGATGGATGTTTTCTTTCTCCTTCTGATCCAGAATAACTTCCAGGTGTCCGAGCTGGGCCTCTGCTTCAGCAATCCTCCTGGCTCTTTCCTGCTCCTCCTCCTCCGAAGCCCTGCCCGGCCCTGGAGGAAGCCCCTTGCTCTGCAGCATCTCCAGCAGTTTCTTGATGGACTCGTCTCGTGCGCCAAGTGTTTGCTTCTGGGTCTCGATCCTCAGCTCCATCTCCTCCAGGGTTTTTCTGAGCAAGAAAAGCTCCTTGGCCTGCCTGTCGTGTTCAGCCTGCAGCCGGCGGAAGTTCTCTTCTGTCAGCTCGATGGTGGCGAAATGCTCCGAGCCGGAGCGGTTACCGCTCTCCTGCTGCAGCAGGTGGTTGAGGTCTCGTTGTGTGCGCAGCTCATCCTGCAGGGCCTGGATAGTCATCTGGAGATGCTGATGAAGACACACAAAAAGACAATCATCTTTCTACCCACCAGTAAGACTGTTTACACAGAACGTAAAACCACCTTATACATACATACATTTGTGTTTTCCCAGTGTATGCCTCCGTCTGGTGTTGTGTCTCTGTTCCTTACTGTTTCAGCTGCGTGTCCTCTCGTTAGTCACTGTATATAAGCCTGTGTCTCTGTATTAGTCCTTTGTCCTGGCATCATATGCTGTCCACTGGTGATGTCCTGTCTATGCCTTGTGACTCATGTGAGTCTTGCTGCCCTGACGGCCTTTTGTTTTTGTAAATAAATTCTTTTTTTTATATATCTCCTGAGACCTGGACTGTCTGCCTGGACCATTGGGTTTTCCTGCTCCAACGCCCCCGTTAGGACAAGGTCTTTATGTTAACTGCTTTTTAAATTCAAATATTTCTGCTCAAACTCCTCAATAAATAATCAGATTTTCTCAAATTAACTCACTGTAAGGAGAAAAAACAAAAACTTTGAATGAAGATGTATTTATGATTGTAAGCTTTGCTTACAGACGGGCGACAAATTGAAGGAAAGAGTAGATTTAATGAGTGCAGAAGCACAACAGATGCTGAAGCACAGGTGCAGCGAAAGGTCAAATTAATGTATTGACATTTGGTTATGCTTGGCTGCATTCTGTATTGCGATGGCAGCAGAGCAAAGAGAGTCTGATCCCTGCTCAACTGACCTGTCAACGACTAATACGACTTGTTTATTTAGCCTAATACTATCAGATATGTTGGGCAGCAACACAAAAGAGTAGCTCAGATTTTTTTTTTCTTTTTTGAAGTGGTGGATCTGAGAAAAGGTCAAGAACAATCGATATCCTCTTGCTTGCAGACCAGATTGATGGGTTAATGGCTAGTCCGCACAGGGCCAAGACCAAAGTGGATAATTATTCAATTAAAATAACTTGGATACTTTTACTGAAATCATCTGTAATGAGAAACAGAAACAAAAACAGTTTAGAAAACTGTATTTGCATGAATGTCTATGAAATTTTTGAGTCTGGGAATATTTTAAGATGCCATGATTCCACTTTGGGTTTGGCCTGACCCATTCTGTCAGCTCATTAAACTGGTTTGCTACAGGTAAGATAATTATTAGTCAAATCCTTCCTGCAGAACCTCACTAGAAAAGAGCTGAACTATTATTTTAGTGTATCTCCACATACTTTATCAATCCACCTTGGGTTGTTTCTTATTTTAACCTTCTACCCATGTGCATTTTAATCATCTGCAAGAGGATTAAATTTGGTTTGAAAAGTATACGGGGCCACATTTCTGACTAACTTTGGCTGAATCTGAAGCTAACCTGAGAGAAACAAGAATGAAACAAAGATTGTCTTTGTGCAGAACTGCTTTCTTTCTTAAAACCAATCCAGCTGTCAATGCTGTGATTGTTGGGTTTGTGTTACAACAGGGTGATGGAGCACGACAGCTTAAAACTGACAGCAAAACACAAATAAAATCAGCACTTTCAGTTTCCCCTCTTGAAGCTGAACTGTGTGAAGATTTCGGGAAGAAAGGATGCAGACTTATTTGAAGGATTTGAGGAACATATTTGATGTTTTTGGGAGGGGAGGGAGGAGGTAACAGGTTCAGAGGAGGGATTGCCAGGTGTTGGAAGAGACACGCCACACTGAAGGTGACTCTATGTTGTGCACTCAAACACATGGTGCAAACATAGGGACAAACCTTGGTTCTCCTGGTGTCCAGCAGCTGCAGAGCATGGGCAGAATGGACAGAGAAACACATGGATGGTGAAAACAGAGCGTCAGAGCTTGATGCAACAAAGATGGATGATCCACACAGATCAAAAGCTGCTTTATCAGCCTTCACTCTGCACAAAAATTATTTGCTACTGTCTTCTGGATGTCATTCAATGAAGGCAGTTTGTGGTTACTGGTTCTTATTGTGCTGATTTAAGCAAGAGTTAACTGGGACATTTTGCTTTCAGTTACTAAAACAAACAAAACACGAGTTCATCTAGCCAACCTTTCTGGAAAGAGATATTGAAAAAATCTGAAATGGATTTAGTGTGCATTAAATAAACTAACTGGTTTCTAACTTGAGCTGAGGAAAAAAAAAAAAAAAAAAAAAAAAAAAAATATATATATATATATATATATATATATATATATATTTACAAGTTCAAATGATAAAGATACAATCACTTAATCAACAAAAAAAACCATTGTTTAAGTAAGTTAGTCTATGAACAAACAAAACATTATTACACTTTTATAATTATATGTATAAGGGAAAAGATTATTATTATTTTTCTTCTTTCGGCTGCTCCCTTCATCAGGAGTTGCCAGAACGAATTAAGTCACACAAGACTTGGCAATTATTTTTACGCTGGATGCCCTTCCTGATGCAACCACAGACCACTGAGCTACCACTGCCCTCTGTGTGGAGCAGAGAGCTGCCATCTACGGCGCCCGGGGGAGCAGATAGGGACGTTAAGGGCCTTGCTCAAGGGCCCAAAGTGGGGCAAATGAAGGTGAAGGCAGGTGTAGGTGTTTCACCAATCCCACCCACATTTTGATGTTGTCGGTACTGGAAGTTGAAACAGCGATCTCTTCCGATCACTGGCCCACCTTCTCTAACCTGCAGGAGCTGCAACCCCTTTTTCCTCCGACAACATTGTCGGGGTTATGCATTACAAACGCTTTGCAGTCACTGGTTAATGGTTAAAATAAAGGTTAATGCTTAAAGCTAGTTGTGCTTTGTTTTGTGTGATCATATGTAGATTTAAGTTGTAGCTTCTGGTTGCATAAGTTTAGTATTTGTTTGCTATGATCCTTTAAAAGTCCTATTTGTGACCGAGTTCCTCATTTACGGCCATGCCACCCTGAACACCCTCTGATTTTGGATGCTAATCAGCATCGGACCTGGTTAGTACTTGGATGGGAGACCGCCTGGTCTAATTCCAGGCGCTGTACGCTTTTGCACTTCTCACCAACCTCACCATGGGGTGTGTTGTTCAAGCCAAGAGCCATGGTCAGTACTGGGGGTTAAGCACTCCTAAAGGTCAGATCCTAGAATCACCCCTGGTCTACAAAGTACAATAATGTCAAAACTTTAAAAAAGTTACTTTACTGTAGATACCTAATTTAAAGCCCACCTTCTCCTGTGTGACTGTATCCTCTCTCAGTTGTACTCCTTCCTTCTCTGATCAATAAGCTGCTGCGCTGGAACTAAACTGCAGCTGACAGTCCAGTGAGTCCATTTGCATAATTGCACAGTGGCTTAAAATCATTACGTGGCCCGTTCTTCTATATCTCCACGTCACCCACCGGGGAAGTGAGGTTGTTCTTCTGAGTCGGTCATGACTCAGTGGTTATTGGTGTCGTGGTTACCCTGCCTTCATTTTCTTCGGCTGTTTTCTTCTAAAACATTTCATCAGCAAGCAGAGGTGTTGAGCTGCAGTTCATCCATCTCTGTAAGTGACACCTGCAGCAGCCAGGAGGAACTTTGTGTCATAAATCTTCTGGTGCAGAAACAAGAAAGTCTTCTGAGAACAAAAATCAGGATCTGCCATATAGTTTTTTTTTTTGTTTTTTTTTTTTTGTCTGTTTGTATTGGTTTTTTTTTTTACTTTTTGGTTATTTCTCAAATGGGCTTTTATATTTCAGTTGTAGGAGGAAGTTTTGCTCGGTTTCTGATACACAGCATTGGACACGCTAGTTTTTCTTTTTTACTTTTGGCTAATTGCAAATGTTTTTTTTTTGTTTGTTTGTTTATTTGTTTGTTTGTTTTGTGTGTGTGGTTTTGAGGTTGGAACAGGAATAAACTGATAACTGATGAAATTGAAGGATTAGCATTATTAGCAGGATTAGTATTCCTTGAAGGACCACAAATCTCCAGGCACATTTCATGTTAGTATTTAACAAAGCTCATCACGTGTAGAGAAATGGTGGACTAGTAGCAGTTTTGGTTCAACTTTGAAAATAACTATGTACAATCATATCTAGTACCACAAGATGTCACCCTTAGAGTTTATGTTGTAAATGACTCTCTGCTACTTCAGTAACTGTTCAACCCACTGAGCTAAAGTGACTTCAGCTATCCATATCAAACTGGCTGAAGTAAAGTCATTTTTGTGTTGGCTAGAGTCAATTAGCTGTGACAGCCATCTTGAATCAAGTTGACTCTAAAAAATAATCAGTTCTAGATGCACTGTTATAACAAACACAATATTTTACCATTACCATTTTTGATGCTTTCCTTCGGGCATTTATGATGTCTAACACACAACTCTCATGCTAGTTATTTTCAGTTACATTAATAATTTAACAGAACTTTTCATATTTTCAATTCATGAACAATTTATGTAGAGTGGGTCACAGATAATAACTAATGCCTAATGTTCAGGATCAAAAAAGGAAAAACAGACTCCATTTAAAAATCTAAACTTGGCAAATGCCAATTATTTATAATCACAAATAATTTATAATAAAACAGTCTGGTCAAAATGACCAGAATTGTGGCTAAATAAAGGCCAGAATCAGCAATGTTGTTATTAGAAAAGTTTTTGTTGAGCACCCCTTCTTAATAATTTACCTCTAAGTGGCACAAATATAAACTCATATATATATAAATATAGTTTCATGCGTACAATAAAACGGTTGTTTGTACGTGGCAGATGGACAGTTCCAGCCCTTTGGGTTGTATCAGCTCACTCCATTCTCTCCCTGTCGTGTGTAGTGATGGCTGACAATGCACCCTTACACCCACACCACCCTGCATCAGATCAGCTCCCCTTAGTTATAAGAAGAGGGATGTGAATGCAGAAACTTGAAAGTCAATCTGCCACTGCTTTATTTTGTGATTCATGCTCAGGTCACTTCTTCTTCTAATAGTAACGTGTATCATGTAAAACATGCATGGATTTTAATCAGGATGAGTACACCCGCATATAAAACTCAAATTAAAAACTATCGTTCGTTGAAGAAATTCAAAGTTCATGACAACTTTTTAAGCAAATTTTTTGTTTGAGCTATTAGCACTCTGAATATGTGACGGAGATGACTCCCAGCTACTACCACACCAAGTTGTATCTAAATTTATTTAAATATGACTGAGTTATAGCCTTTGTATTTACGGTTGATTGCCTGTGATGGCCATCTTAATTCAAGTTGATACTACGAGTTAAACAGTTATAAATATACAACCAATTAGTCATTTTGTGGGGTTTCATTAAAACTCGTCCAGTGGTTCATGAAATATTTTGCTAACAAACAGACAAGGTTGACTCTAACAGTCATTGCCAGAGTTTTAAATAACCATATCCTGTGATCTGTTGGCACTCAAAATATATACTGGTGGTCCCTCTCATCTAATATCACACCAAACCTTCGCTCATTATCTGTAAAATTGACCGAGTTACAGCTACTTTTGTGTTTACCAACGTTGGTTAGTTATGGCGGCTATTTCGAATCAGGATGACTCCAAGTGTTAATCAGCTGAACATGTGCACCTAATGATTAAGCTCTGAGAGCTTAATTAGAATCAGTCCACCAGTTCATGAGATATTTTGCTAACAGAGATAAATGAGCAAACAAGCACACAAAGGCAATTGCTTTATCGCTTGCCTTGTACAAATACATGCAGAAAATCATTCTCACGTAACAAAATTGTCAGCTAGATTTGCACAAACTGTTCCCATATTTTCATTTTCTTAATAAGTAAACATGCACATGTGTGGACAATTATCTATTTTTAACAAAAGTAATGATAAATTAAAATTAGTTGTTTGAGTTTACTCCTTCAATGAGTTCTACACATTTACTTGTTGTTTTTATTAATTTCAAAGTTATTTTTGGTCATCTTCCTTCTTGTATATATATTTTTTTCAAATAAAATAATTAAAAAATATTGAATCTGTAGTAACTTTAATGTAAAACTTATGAATTGGTACATAATGAATATTAACTCTCATGAGGTCAGAGTTTCCAGGATTGTCTGAAGATCACCATCAAAATCTGTTGAAATTAATAAAAAATAATATATGAGAAAATATGTTGTGCTTTGCATGTAAGATGCATGTTCTTAGTTTAGCTGGCGAATGTGTAAAAACTAAATATATTTATAACATAATTTTCTGCCTTTATAAGCTCAACATGTACACCAAATCATGACTACCTTTGTACATCACGCTTATAGAAAATAATGTGCTTTGCACTGCAGAGATGATGAGTGCAAACTTGATTTAAGCTCCGCCCCATGCATAGAAATAAATAACCTCTAATTAAACAGCACATACAAACTGTGCATTTAATAACGAGCACAGCTATAAAACACTGCCTCATCTAAATATTTGAGATTTTCTGTTTTTGCAGTACAGAATGAAGCAAACGTGTTTTATTGGAAGTTTGGAATGCACGCACTGACAGAGCAGAAGTGACGTAGGGAAGCTCTGACTCCGTTGTTGCAGAACGCGGTGATCAGGGCTGACTAACTAACTGAGGAGCAGTGATCATGACTCAGTCAGACGTGACACGCTGCAGCTCACCTTCGCCTCCGGCTGCTGCTGTTCAGCTTCGGCGTGACAAAAATCCAGCTCAGTTTCAATAAAACAGATCAGGGTGATTACAGTCGCTTGTGTAGTGAAATAAAAGAGAAAAAAGCATCACATGAAGCAGCTCTAGGCTCATCATTACCATTAGTGATTACTATTATTACTCTAGATTGTATTTTCCCACACAACAAAGCCTTTGCTTTACGAAAGATTTTCTATAATGCCTGATTTATTTATGAATTTATTAATTTTGTCATTTGAATGATACAACACCACATCCTCTCTGATCCTAATGTTCAAAAAACAAATTAAACACAACATCTGCTCTGACAAAAATAAGCAAATGGCATCCGATGCTGTTATAATCTGTGCTACAAGACAGATTTAATCACTGGCCAGAAATGACTCCTTTATCAATGAGCTTTTCAGCAGCCTCTCAACAGTTCTGTGGGTGTGACAGAACCATCCAGCCGTAAGTATATGCTTATATAAGGATGCTTCACAGCCAGAAATCAAGACAGAAAAGACCAATTATGGCAACGAGGCACATCTGGCTTTTATTAGCTGCCATACTTCATTAATGAAGCCCACCAGAGGGGATATAAATATCACTTGGTGTGGAAGGAGAGGAAACACTGAGAAAAGCCTGGAAATAATGAAACATTTCCTCTCTTTGATTCAGGTAGACAGGAAGGCCCACTGTGTATAGCTTTTATATTCTGCAGGAAACATATCGGCTCCTGCAGTGCACAAATCTAAGAGAAAATGTCAAGGATCTAAACCGAGTATTCAACAGCACTGTAAAAAGTAAATAAAATGCTGAAATGCTTTGTACCCATCAGTGCTGGTTTTGGCTTTACAGTTTTGGCTCAGCTCTTTAAAGTGTAGTTCTCTATAAAAAAAAAAGGTTATTAACAATTATCTCAAGTGTAGATATTTTTTTTTCATTTTAGAGAAATCAATCAATCAACCTTTATTTATACAGGTAAATCCCATTGAGCCTCGAGGACTCATTTACAAGAGAGACCTGATTTCAACAAAGAAAGATGACAACAATGGACAACAGCAACAACAATAAGCAGTTATAAAAACTCATACTACAGTTTTTTTTTTTTTTAACAAATAGGATGGCTAAAAGGAAAAAGGTAACAAAACAAAAAAAACAGCTAGATTCCAAGACAAATGTATAAAACTAAAAACAGGAACATGTCTGCAATGGTCCCTGCCAGGAGTCCAACAGATTCTTAAAGTCACTTAGAGAGGTCAAGGTCGAGAGCTTCAAATCTTTTTGTAAGATATTCCAGGAAACAGGAGCGGAGTAGGAGAAGGCCCTTTTGCCTAGTTCAGTCCTCACTGAGGGAACACTGCAGGTAATAATGTCCTGAGAGCGCACTCCGTAGCTGCACTCACGCAGAGACATGTAGGAGGAGATGTATGAAGGCAGCAGACCAAGAAATGATTTAAAGATGAAAATGTACCAGTGAGAGAGTCTGCGTGAAGTTAATGATGTCCAGTTAACCAATGAATACAGGGTGCAGTGGTGGGTACGATAATCACAGCCAGTTATGAATCTTAGTGCACCATGATAGACAGCATCCAACATCTGCAGGGTTCTTGTAGGAGCATTCATGTAAATAATATCACCAAAATCAATTGAGGGATAAACCGGCTTGACAAACTAACAACTATTCCAAGAGGGTCCAAGACCGAAATGGATATCTGCTGTTGTAAAACAACGCCAGTCTTAAAAATATAACTGTGGTTCACGTGAAGACTATAAAATAACATCTACATTGCTGCTAAGTTTGCATTATTTTAATATTCATATGAAAGTCTATGATTAGCCGTGGCATTTCTGGTGCAGCCTGGGTTACTTCAAAACTGAAATATAAAAATAATTAATGACAATGAAAATACATTAGTCCCTCGTTTATCACGGGGGATCCATACCAAAGACCGGCAATAAGTGGAAAACCGTGAAGTAGGAATAGTAGTACAAGTAGTAAGTAGTAGTTTATATTATATATATATATATATATATATATATATATATATATATATATGTATGTGTGTATATTTATGTATATATATATATATATGTATATATGTGTGTGTGTGTGTGTGTGTGTGTGTGTGTGTGTGTGAGCGTTTTAAACCCTTGCCCCGCACTTGCAATACTCTAAACAATGTTTCTAAACTTTAAAAACTCTAAAAGAGAACACAATGTCATGGTTTCAGCTCCGCCTCTGCTGCTGTTTGCCACCTGCAAACGTTCTTGGCCACGCCCACTTCTCCGCGCTGCATGGTGGACAGCTGATCAGCTGCAGCAGGAAGTGTATCCTGCAGTATGGGCTGCACAAAGCTGTAGGACACTTTTTCTGCAGCTCTGGGCTGCAGCGGATGTGCAGCAGGTGCTAAATAATTTAAAATAATTTATTTAAACAAAAATTCCATGCTGATCGTGCGGCTCATCCGTTCATCCATCAATCATCCAATTGTGTGTCATGTCCAATCGTGTTTTGACAACCGCGATAGAGCAAGTCTGCGATAAACAAACCGTGAAGTAGCGAGGGTCTACTGTATGTGCAATACGTTTTACATTTGCATGCTTTGAATTTTTTGACACTGAAAACAACACTAATCCACTTTGGTCTTAGCTGTGTTCAGACTAGTTATTAGCTCATCAGTTTGGTCTAAATTAAACTATTCCTCCAAATTGAGGTCATTCAAAAAGCTATCCATAACAGGTAAGATATTAAATGTTCATGTTCTTTCTACAAAACCTCAATTCAAAAGATGTGAACTATCACTTTCAAACCCAACACTATTTTTTTGGAAATCATACAGCCATAAAATATTGAAAAATGCCTCTGGTTTCTCATGTGCTGATTCTATGATGCAACCATCCTCTTCAGCAATGAGCTAAAAAAGAAATCGCAACTTCTTTAAATGCCAGTCAAGTTATATTTTATTTTTAAAAAAGAGTTTTTATGCAGAAATTCAAGTTCATGTACAGACAGAAGACCCTCACGTGATGGCCACACTAATAACATCATGCTAAGGCCTTGAAGGATAGAGTGACATCATCTCTGCCCATTTGAGTAATGAGTAATCTGTTCACTTCAGTGTCTGAAGCAAAGCTGGAGCGCACACAGCCGGGCTCAAAGACCACAAAGAGACAGCCTAATTCTACTCTGACATTGCACAAAGATATTATTCTGTTTGCTGCATCATGACCAAACCTGCCTCAAAAAATAAATAAAACAATCTAGCCACTCAACCATTAATCTGACACAGTCCACAGTTTGCATCATGTGTCATGCCCTTTCCTGAGCTTTACAGTCTGTCTGCACCATGACTAAGCTATTAATAACCCTGGAGGTGAGGTTTGACGTGAAATCATCAACATCAAGTCGACAGAACATCACTTCGTACTGTGAGCTGAATGCTGTTCATCCACTTTCAAATCACCTTCATTTTCTTTTCAAACTCATTCTAGCAACAAACTGATACGATAAAGTTTCCGACGTAATTTGAAACGGAAATAGACGCAAAGGCTCCATGAACAGAAGTAAACACGGAGAGATGATTCAAGTCTGAGTCCATATGAAGCACAGACAGAGAAACACAAAGAGGCTGAAGACTGCAGACGGTGTTTAAGTGTCCTTGACATTTGTCTCTGGGAGTTGTGCCCACTCTTGTCAGTAAGTGATTTAACTGGGCCATGACTACACCCCCACACTGAGGTAAGCAAAAAGAAAAAAGAAAAAAGAACAATCTTTTGACATCTCTCCCTCTCAAAGCCAATCTGCTGAACTTGTGAAAGTAAAGTACATTTTAGCAATACTGAGGCCAGACTGTGATCCGTTCGATACATCTGACAGCGGAGTCATCATGCTTTTTACTGTGTCCCAAACATCTGATAGCTTAGATTTGTTGTAGATAACTTGAGGGGGGCTGTCATTTCTTGTATTAACACAGACTCTGTAGAAGTGTAAAAGAAACAGACTGTACGTTAGATATGTATGTGCATAAAGATGCTCTTTCCAGAAAGATTTTCACAAAAGCTTAAAAGCAGAGCAGACTGCAATGGTTGGACTTGAGGATGGTTCGCTGTGAAAGCAGCAAGAGAGTCAGACAAGCAGCAGCTGAAATCCCCTGCAGTAATAAATGGTTTATGACAGCTCAGAGGAGGTGGGCTCTCACCTGATTCTCCTCATGAGTGACTCTCATCTGTTCTTTAAGGATGGACGTGCGAGCCGCCTCCTCCTTCCTCATAATCCTTTCCTTCTTCAGCTCGGGACTCCAGAAGCTCTTAATGCTGTTAGTGGACGATCCTAACTTGCTCTCCTTCAGGTCGAGCTCTCGCCGCAGCATCTCGTTCTCCCTCTGCATTTCCCTGAACTGGGCCTGCATCTCCAGCAGCTCCCCGCCGCTGCCCCTCACAGCCTGCCTCAGCAGGGCGGAGGGCACCCCCTGGTGGTGATGGTGGTGGTGCAGCATGGAGAGGGAGCCCAGGTCGCTGTAAGACAGAAGGTCGGCATGAGGCAGGCCCACTGAAGCGATATTGGGACTGCTGCCCATGGCAGTGACACGCCCCCCGTACATGGCCCGGCTGGTGGCGCGACCCAGAGTCATAGTGCCTTTTGGGTAGGTGGCAGTGGAGCCCACTGCCTCGTGGTCACTCAGGTACATGGGCCCTGAAGTAGCATAGGCAGCGTTGAGGGACTGGATGTTCTCCATGGACAGCGTCTTGCTCCCCGCACCACCCCCACTCCCACTGTGTGCCCTTCGGTGGCCCAGTCTGGGGGACCTTGGAAGGCGCGGGGATCGTACAGGGCTGCTCTCTACATGACCTACAGCTCTGGCACTGCCGTACATGTCCTGTGGTTCTGCGACGTAGCCACCAGAAGGTCCTTAACAGGGGCGTGCAGAAATGAGGGTCTCTGAACCAAACATGGAGGCCTCAGTTCATGCCTGAACGGGTGGAACGTGTCAAAGTCAGACCTGAAGAAAAAGATGAGAAGCATCTGTGAGAGAGGCAAAATGAAAAAAGCTCAATATCCAATCAGAAACCCAGCTGCCCCAGTTTGTGTGGTTCCATTAGTCTGTAAGAATATTCCTGCATCATTCCTTATGCCACACTGGCAATTTATTAAATACAGTAAATCATAATAATGAAAAAAGCAAAATAATTTTATAACTTCATAGTATATTGTACATTTAATTTAATAAAAGCAATAATACTTTCTAATGGTATAGTTTAGGAGTTCAACAAGTAAAAGAGGCATCAGGATATGTTGAGTTCAGATCTTTTTACAGTTGTGCTCTGAGCTGTACAACATCCAAGACTTTAATTTACACTCTGATCTTATTCATTATTATTCACTCACGATGCACCGATCGCAGTTTTCTGGTCCGATTTGGTTTTAATTTTGTGTAAACTCTGAACAGCTGATTTAAATTTAGCTAAATTCAGAATTTTCATTGAGATCTACACTTTGAATTTCTGTGTGAATTATTTTTATTTTTTTTATTTTGTTCGAAATAAAATTTTCACATTTTGTACAAAATGGCATCAGATTTCAGGGACTTCTCTTTTCTTCATGATATCAAATCATAAACTGCTCCAGTATTTATATAAATTAATTTATTAGTAGGAAGTGCTATGGTCACCCAACAAATATATTATTTCATCAACTGAAATTATTAAAATTTTATGATTTGGTTGAATATAGTGATTTACAAGTCATGTATAAAGCCATAAAACATTTTATCCCCAAATATTCAATTAAAATTTGTTTTAAAAAAAGAGTCATTATAACCTTAAGGGAATGGAAATGTTTGTAAAACCTCTATTTAGAACTAGTTTGAAGGAGTGCGTTGTAATTCAGGAATTGCCTTGATATCACCATAAAATTTTCTAAAACAATGTATGTTTAAAAAGATGATTAAGTTAAAATTGTTAGGAAAATATGATACCATATGAAGGATGCATGATGTTTTTTGTTTTTGCTTTGGGGATTGTTCAACCCTGAGTTACTGCTTAAAGTTATTTTAAATTTTTCTAAATAGGGGGCATATATAATGTTTTTTTTTCTTTCTGCACTCTTTTCATTCTATGTTTTTCTTTTTTCTTTTTGATGAATTTGTTTCATTTCCTTTTTTTCTTTTAAATGAATGAATAAGTGAATAAACAAATAAAAATAAATTAATAAATATAAATAAATTTAATCTGTAAATAAATGTATTAAATTTCAGTAGGGTCCAAAAGATTATTTTAAGATGTTTGTTTTTTTTAATAAAAAAAATAAAAATAAGCATGACTCTATTGGCTCATTTTTGATAAATAAATGTCTCATTGTCTCTAATGATTTATCTGACTCGGCCTTGGGATGTATATTATGACAGATTTTTAAATAACGTCTTACTAGTAGAAGGACTGAAATGCAAATAATCACTTTTTTATTAACCTTTTATTTAACTAGGCAATTCCCATTGAGATCACAGATCTCTTTTGTGTTGGAGGTCTGAAGGCAGCCTAACATGCATGTATTTTTTATTTTTTATTTTTTGGTCTGTTGGAGGAAACTAGAGTATCCGGAGAAAACACCCATGCATGCACGAAAAGAACATGCAAACTCCACACAGAAAGACCGAGGTCCAACTGGGTATTGAACCCAGGACCTTCTTGCTGTGAGGCAACAGCGCTAACCACTGAGCTGTCGTGCTGCACTCTTGCACCACCTGCCTTAATACATTATTTCATAAACAGAATTTGGGCTTTAAAGACGGTGAAACAGCACTGGACTGATTCAATATCAGTGTATGGTTTTGCTGAAAACCTCTCTTTTTTTTTTTTACATTTGATACATTTTTGATATTTCTGTTTACTCTGACACTGACCAACCAGCTATCATTGTCAAGAAGAGAAATATGATATACAGTGTCAGGGTGTGGGACCGCGTTTTAAGACCACAATGGTAACCAAAAGGATTCACAAGTTTTAAAATAGAATCCTTTCTGCTGGGTGACAAGAAAGAAGATTACACCAGAGACTAAATTTTTAATGATGTAATAATGGCAGAACCTTTTTCATTCTATTTGTAGCTTCAGTATGTCTCCAGACTTTCGACAGTCTATAATTTTCATCCATTTATCCATTTTCTTTACCAACTTTTCCTTTTCGGGTCACAGGGTTCACTGGTGCCTTTCTCCAGCAGTCACTGTGCGAGAGGCGAGGGACACCCTTCACAGGTCGCAAGTCCATTATAGGGACACATGGAGACAAACGAGACAAACAACTCACTCACACAATCTGTAATTTGATTCTCATTTTTATTTATCCATGAAAACGGAATAATCCAATCGGTTAAGTTCACAAGCTTGTTTTAGCAAGCTTTTTAACATAAAACCTGAATGAGAGGACAAAGGTCAGGGTTTTAGAACCTGAGCGTCTTAGGAACAAATGTTGCAGTCAGGATGGTTTCCAGTTCTACTGTAAAGAACAGTGGTATGATTTTTTGATCAGGACATGTCATTCACCCCCACATTGAAGCTGTTACCAGAATAATTTCATCAATATCACCAAAATTAGAAACATCTTGTTCAAAATATGCTGCAGAAAAACTGATCAATGAATTTATCACTTCTAGGCTGGACTTTTGCAATTATTTATCTGAGTATATAAGAAACTTTTTAAAAAGTCTTCAATTAATCCAAAATGCTGCTGATGAAAGTTAGAGGGAGAGGTCATTCTCCAGTTTTAGCTTCTCTCCATTGGGTTACAGAAGACTTGGAGTCAGCCTCCCCACCATCACAGACATCTACACCTCTAGATGTAGGAAGAGGGCCACCTGCATCATGAAGGACTCCACTCACCCAGCACACACACTTTTTGTCCCGCTCCCCTCAGGCAGGAGGTTGAGGAGCATTAAGTGTCAAACCACTAGACTGAGGAACAGCTTCTACCCTGAAGCTGTTAGACTCATGAATCTCTAACCAGGAAAATCACTGTTATGCCACTTTAATTGGAGAGTTGACACTTTATCCATGCTGCTAATGCTCATGTTCAGGCTGCTGCTTAATATACCATATTATATTATATTAAATTATTATTGTTTAGTGTATATCTTAGATCCTTGTATAATGTTTCTTTTTTTATGTTTTATATTTGTGCTATTTTGCGGTATAACTGGGATGTTGAGTACACAGTTTTGTTCCACCTCATGTACCACATACTGTATAATGCAAATAACAATAAATCCCCTTGAACTTTCAACCGTGAAAAAATAAATAAATAAATTAATTAATTAAGTTCTCTATCATACAAATCTCTCATCAACCAAGCTCCATTTTATATTAAAGTGCACTTCAGACTGTAGGTTTACTTATGGTTCCTAGAGTTTGTGAAAGCGGGATGAGAAACAGAGCTTTCAGATTTTCAGGCTGGAAACACTTTCCAGTGTTTGTCCATGAGGCTGACATCCTGACTACTTTTAAGTCTAGACTAGACTTAAATATTTTTTATGAGGAATCCTATAGTGAGTGTTGGCTTGGGTTTCCTGAGCTATCCCTTAGGTATTCTGCTAAAGGATTCAATTACTAAAGATCAAATGGACCACGTGTCCTCACTCTGCTGCAGTCTTTACTCACTTTACGTTCCATGTTTGTATTTCTAATTACTTCTATCTTTTCATGTGTTTTTATTTGTTTTTAGGCCCGTACACCAGGACCAACCCTTCTCGGTCTGTTTATTTCCCATCATCTCTAACCCCAACCAGTTGAGGTGGATGGCTGCTCATCTTGTTCTGCTGGAAGTTTCTTCCTATTTAAAGGGAGTCATTTCCTTCTGCTGTGATCAATGTGCTGCTCTGGATGAAAAACTGTGACAAGGTGGAGATTCAACACAACCTGCTGACCTTCTTAGATAGATAACTTTTATGAACTGGCATTTTAGGATGTCTGTGAATGTTGTAGTAAAGTGCCTTGAGGTTAATTTTGTTAATATCTGCTGCTATATATGAACTGAATAGAAATAATTTGAATTTATTCGAATTCAGTGTTACATTTTTACACTGTTCAATATTTTAGGGTTAAACACAAAAGGATGTTTAACAGAAAGTAGCAACGCTAACTGGGATTGTTAATGTTTCTACCTTTCAAGAGAGAGAATAAAACTGGACTGTTCAATGGCATAAAGAAACAGACTTTTCCGTTTTTCTCATTTTGTGACACTTATGACTCAGTTGCCATGGTGACGCTGTCTGGGCTATCGCAGATATGTCACCTAAGACATGTGACACGACAGCACAAGTCTCCAAACTCGACTGTGATGGAAATTGCGGCGAAATATAATGACTGTGAAAAGTGTAAGGTTCGGGCTTTGTCCTAAGGTTTTGTTTGTTTGTTTTTTCTTTTATTTGTTTATTTGGAAGAGAGATCATTTCTAGCAGAGCGACATGTCAACAGGTCTGCATGATGTATGAAATTCAGTACGGATTTGGACAACAGCAGCCCTCAGACGAACACACTGATGTATCATCTGTAAGGAAACACTTCACCATGAGCAAACACTGCAGCCTGTCCATTCGTGTGTGTGTGTGTGTGTGTGTGTGTGCTGGGAGGGGGCACACAGGACAAATTAACTCTTAGTTATAAAAGAACGATCATACAGTTAAGAACCTAATTTGATTTGTTAATATTTCTCATGTCAAATCAATTTGCACCGGTTATGAATGAGCAGGTCTCTCGTCGTGACTCAGTGAGACTAACCTGTATAAATGAAGTTCGAATGAATGAATGAAACAAATGAACACATGTTCTGTCCCTGCATTCTGATCAATACCATCTGATTTGTCCTGACATTTTACAGCATATAT